AGCCTCTTCGGTTCCATGCACCTCGCTCGTTCTGTGTATGCTCGCATCAGCACACTGCTGCTCCCTTCACTCCCACTGGCCTCAACGGTCGTCCGAGTTGGCTTGTGTTTCAGGTTGGAGATTTTTGCTGTCAAACAGGTCACTTACTGGCCGACCCTGGCTAAAGGACGATGCAGGTTGCACTAGGCGCATCTGACAATACGCTATCTCGCCCGACCTCATGCAGAGCGGCTGTTTCGGGATACTCATAATGTTAGACAATGCTCGACGACAATTCGCCTCTTCCTCGTGCTGTCTGCTGATCAAGTATGGGTGGCAAGAGGTCCTAGCTGATGGAACCCATGGGATGTCTTCCATATGTACAACTGCATGCGAGGCCCCAATGCTGCCCATGTGCGAGACCCAATCAATCTACTCATACCACTGTAACGCCTTGCCTCTATCGAAGTTTGTCTACGTCATCCACCAATGCAAGTCCTGAGCTCAATCCTGAAACACAGTCTTTGGTGCAAGAGATGATACACTCTGCGGTCGGTGGCACTCATGCCTTGACGTCGTATTTCCGTCGGAACATTTCATCGACCTCGGTCAGGTAGTAAGTGCCAGGCACCAGATGCTCGACTGCCCCGGCGGGCTTGAAATCCTTCTTCAGATGTGCCTTCTCTCGAAGCAAGCACATGTCGTCATACACCTCAGGTGCAACAACCCGGCGGGCGTCCAGTCGTTCTTGCAGATTGAGCTTCTCGGCCATCTCTGTGGTGTCCCCAACGACCTTCAAGCTGAACATCGAGCTGGCTAGACCGCTGCCGTAGCTGAAGACGCCAACTCTCTTGCCTTGGAGGGTTTTGGGTGCAATATTACTGATTAGGCCGACAAGGCCTCCATAAACGCTGCCACAGTACATGTTCCCGCACATGGTGGCGACCTGAATGGCAGGCTGGACACGTTCGGCAAAGCGCTTTTTAGTCAAGCCCATGAATGTCTTTTCGACAGTCTTGTCGCTCAAAGATGCCTGGTAGTCAAGGTCGCGTAACTCGGGCGGAACCTCACTGAATTGGGGATGGCCTGGGTCTTCCAGGAAATCATTGTACAGCAGGCGGGCGTATGACTTCGAAACGAGTTTGCATGTCGGCGCATGGAAGGCCATGTAGTCGAATCGGTCGACGGGCGCTTTGTCGACCTCTTCTTTGTGGACGCCATTCCCGTTCACGTGGTGTCCGTTGACGCCGTTCGTTTGTGACTGGAGTGCCCTTTCGCGGGCATTGTATGCTTTGTAGCATGCGTCAACAGCCTCGGTATAGCACTTCAACGAGAATTGACCATCAACATATGGGTACTCGCTCGTGAGATCGGGTTTGTAGAAGTCGTATGCGTGGGTAATGTATGAGCCTCGGAGACCGGCTTCGAATGCAATCGGCGCATCCGGACCGATCAACAGAGCCACACAGCCAGCACCCCCGGTCGGGCGAGCATTGCCCTTCTTGTACAAAGCAATGTCACCCGCAAGCACGATGGCGTCTCGCCCATCCCAAGCCGAAGACTCAATCCAATTTAAAGAGTTGAAGACCGCATTGGTGCCACCGCTATACACAGTCAGGGCGTGTCCTCTCCAGCCAGACAGGGACTGGGTGGAACTCACTAGCATGCATTGTAAGAGTCGACGCCCTCGACATTGAAATTGCCCGACTCTTGGAATAACTGCATCAGCACGGATTTGACGCTCTTGCTTTTGTCCAGCATCGTCTCGGTGCCGACCTCCAGTCTCCCGACATTGTTGAGGTCAATGTTATATTTTTTGATCAGGCTTGTCAAGGTGGTAAGGGCAATGGAGTAGATGTCTGCGGAAGACGATGTCAGTCGAGGCAACGATCGCTCCTCATGCGGTCCCGCAACTGACCTTCCCTATCATCGCAGAAGGACATTCGAGTCTGCCCCAGTCCGATTGTGTACTTGCCCGCCGCCACTCCATCGAACTTCTCCAACTCAGCTTGATCAACGCACTGGGAATCTGTCAGCGCATGCCACTACCATGAAGTCCGCGTCGTGTTGAGTCTCGCATACCTGATTTGGGAAGTAGATTTCAATGGCTTTGATGCCAATATTCTGAGGTCGGGACGCCATGGTCTTTTAGGAGGAGCAGGAAAACGTAAGAGTAACTCAGATGTGGTCGTTGCAGAGAAGAGGTCCGGGAACGACTGAACTGAGAGGGGATGTTTTGTTGCTGGGTTGAGAAGGCGGTGAAGTGGGGAGATCAAGGGCTAGAGATAGCAAGGAGAGGCGAACTTTTTTGTGGAGGCGCGCAAACAGGAAAGCGGGCACTGGGTAGATCGTGCTGCAACAGCCAGTAGGCTTTGTTTGTCTTGCAAGAACTCTCTCCTCCGGTAGACTGTGGACGCTTGAATGCAGGAGGAAGAAAGAAATACGTACGGCGAGAGTGCCAGAGATATGGGATGCGAGCACCGTAGCGACCCGGCCGGCACCTCAACGGCGACAGATTTCGAAAATGATGCCACAAATTTTGAGATGCACGAGCCCACAGTCGTTAGTCGTTGGGGGGGTGCCCACTGTGCCCACTGGACCACACACACGACACTTGAGCCACACCGCCCACATGATGACGCTTCTGGTTGGCTGATTAATGCCAATCAGGGACAGACTAAGCTCTCCAAATCGTGCTAGCTGCTGTGAGCTGATCCGGATGCCCGTGTTCCTTGCATGAGCCGACCCTGAGGCGCTGGAAGCTTTCTGGCGCTGTGTGTCGTTCTACACGGATCTGTCAACTCCGATATCGCCATCCCCCTGACGACGCAAACTGTGACAGTGACGTTGCGCACAGCCTCGCCCGTGCATGTCGCTGCTGGAGTTCTGTGAGAGCCGCGACGCCACTTGATCTCAATCCCGCGATGACATCGCGATGATCGTAAAAACAGGCAACCACCTACACAGTACAATGCATTGCACTTACTCGTAGGAGAAGCTACTCTCGAGTGAAGATAGGACGGGTTTGATACACTCTTCTGTGGCAGATATAGACCTTTGAGACAATCCTCTTTTACACACCCGCAGACAGATACGAAAGCCTGGTCTACAGGGCACCCAGTATATACTCAGTAGTAAGTATCGACATGCCTGGAGGGACCTGGAAACAAATACTCCGTACCCAGTACCCAGTAATCTCTATAGAAATAATGCTAAAGGCCGGAAAGGCTGCCTAAGTGGGTCGTGTGGTGCCTTTACAACCACTTACTTGGTAGGTACTCATAGTATTCGCCTCGCACCTGAGACTAAGTTGGCAGACTCTAGTACCTGTTCCACATTTCAGTATACGTCCTTCTATCGACCACCTGTGAGTAATCACTGTCTATCATGGTACTGTCCCAGAATGATTCAGGCCCCTATGATCCTCCCTATCATCAATAAGAGGAGGGCACAACGCCGAGGCGGCCACCGTCCGTGACGACTACACATCCATTGATATACGCTCCAGCCCTCGAGCAAAGCCAAAGGACAACACCAGCCATATCCTGCTCGTCCCCGGTTCTTGTTGCCGGGACAACGTCTTTGCCAAAGGCGCCTTCGATGTTGTGTATTTCCGTCTTGCCTTGGGCTGCGTACATGCCGTGCGTCATCTCCGAATAGTAAAGGCCCGGTGCTATCACATTTGCTCTAATGTCGTAGGGCACCAAAGCCGTCGTCAGTTGTTTGGTAAGATGCACGGCAGCCGCCTTGGATGGCCCGTACGAGAAGTTACCCAGGGCCTTTCGATTATAGCCACCAATGCTGGCAGTGGTAATGATTTGGGGCCGAGGAGTGAAATTGTCCTTGTTGGGAGCTGGTCTCTTCTTGTTTGCGGCATCAAGCAGCGGGAGGAACGCAGCGACGGTAAAGTGGATGCCTGTGAGGTTGACGGCGTATGTGGAATTCACTTCTTCTGGCTCCGGCTTCCACATGTTCTGAGCGAGTTCTTCGATGGATACTGGCTTCTGATCCTTGTCCAGTGTTGGCACTGGTGGGCCGGAGATGCCACTGTTTGCAATGAGTACATCGATGTGGTCGACTTGTGCTTTGACCTTTTCGAAACACTGCTGTAGAGACGGTTTGGAGGTGACGTCGCCCACTAGGGGGATGATTGTGCCTCCCGGTACAGAATCTGCTGTCTCCTTCAAGTTGCTCTCCCGGCGGCCAATGATGAACACTTTGGATGCTCCATTCGCTGCCAACGCCCTGGCCATCATACGTCCAAGCCCTAAAATGCAAGTGTTAGTCGTGTACAACGCGCACTCTGCTCCAGTATTATGATTGCAGGCTGCACATCAGCCAAAGATTCGTGAGCGTTGACATACCAGAGCCGGCGCCAGTGACGACGGCCACGAGGCCGTTGACATTGAATAGGTTCGCCGCCTGGATGGGGGCAGTATCGGCGGCCGACATCTTAGACGGTGCCGGAGAGCTTCGATTGACGATGTATCGGGGTTCTCTAAGTTTCACAAGCAATACCTGTTATGTTCTTGTGATAGTAGCAACAACAACAATGGCAACGGGACGCAAAAGACAGCAATCACGTAGATAGCTGACTGGATGTTGTCATGAGGGAAGATTTCTGTTGACCCTGCAGGTGGTCGGGTCATGTCCGTGGTGGAACGCTGATCGGCTATTTCGCCGGTTGATTTCCAGCAAACTACAATAAATGGAAGGACCGAGCATCCAGATGAATTAAACGCCGACTGCCCTATTCAAAATCAATAGTCGCTCGGATGTCGAGAACTCCTGTGTTCGGAATCCCGTTGCGCTTGATAGTTGTGGTGATGAGCTTACACATAGCATCTCGAAGAGCATTAGGTTTGGCGTGGCTCCAGCATTACCTTCGTGTTCTCCCTCTGCTGAAATGATCTTGTTCATCAATCTATCACGGCTCGCCAGAAACAGATATATCTTTCGGACAGAAAGACCGAATTGGGTTGACTGATCGCTAGGCTATGTCTCGAACAAACGCATGTGCTTTAATGCTTTCCCATCCCTAACTTCCCCTTAAGTCTGTTGAGTCCCTTGGAAGGTTCATAACTCTCTCCGCGGTCACCACTCGTCCTCGCGTGCGAGCCGTCCGGCATTGTACCTGGACTAACATCACGCTGCTCGCTACGTTTTCTGGATGGGTGCGCTTGCTCGTCAGTAGCCTTGTTCGAAGCGGCTTTCGGGTCTAGAGATCCGTTCGAGTTGGAGGTATTGGTCGGTTGTGAGGACGCGGTGCTCTCTGCGTTCGCAGTAATCAGCAAGGAGCACATAACGGAATGTGGTTGTTACAGCTACCTCCAGCATTTCCTTGATCATAGGGCTCCGCTGCTGTGCCCTTGCCTTGCACGCCCGAGAGCGGCTCTTGGCCTGACTGCACGCCTATCTCCTCTGTGACAAGCGGCTGGTCAGTATGATCGGTCAGATAGGAGCGATGGTGTGAATGTTTTACCTGGCGCATTGCCTTGATCGTACGGCTCGTCCACTGTTCCTTTGCCCTGGATACCCGAGGGCGGCTCGATGCCTGACTGTGTAGTTGCTGTACCCATGTCCTTGGTTTTGGTGCGCGTAAGTATTTGATCGACAATGTCAGGATGAGGAGACATTGTTGCGAAGGAAGCGGTTGCGACAGACCAAATTGATGCACTCTGTATGCAAAGAAACGCAGGGTCAACAAGGGCTCGGATGCACAAATTGAAACGGGTCCTATTATTTAAGCAGGGGCATGCTCAAGTTAAGAGCTATCAGTCTTATCGCGCCTAAGGTCTCACATTCGACTCGTTCTCGCCCTGTTCGACTGGAATCCCACTGCGCAAGAGCAGGTGTAGCCGACGTCATCGGCCACCGCGCGGCACGTCATACCCCTCGCTCGGAAAAAGGTCGACGGTACGGAACCTCAACCATAGCTGAGGCGCATCAGCAGGTATGGGCAAGAATCGTCCGCAAGCCGAAGGTTACACCCCCCCGGTGCCCCAGAACCCCCAAAGGCCCATTAAGCTTTGAACCGATGTGTCGTAACAACATCTGCTGCATCGTGACACAGAACAATGGGCACTAACCCCACGTGGTCGATGGACGAAGAGTGAGGGGCTAAACGATTTGCTTTTGCGAAGTGGCGCCCAACGCCCAGCCTGCATCCTGCGCCGCCAAGCCATGCAGCTTTTTCCTGCTCGGCAATAGAAACTCTCCTGTACACCATACCCATGCTTCAAAGAGTGGACGAAGCCACCTGCGAACGTGCAATTCACAGCCTGACTTTGAGGCACTCTGCCAGGAATGACAAGCACTACAGCTGCCGACACATGTGTCGACTGTCAGGACCATGAGGCCAATCTCACCATCCGAGCTCGGCGCTTGTGTGCCGCCTGTTTCAGCCGTTACGTGAACTCCAAGATTCTCAAGCGCATGGAGTCCCATGGATTCAAACACCTTGCTGAAGACCAGAAGCGCCGCCTGTTTCTCCCTGTATCGGGCGGTGTTTCCTCCCTTGTTCTGCTACAAGTGCTCGATGCTCAGCTTCAGAGGCAGATTGGCAACCGCAACAGGACCGCCTACGATCTCATCGTCGCGCGAGTTGTGCTCCCAGACGCAAGAGATCTCGCCGCCATCGAGAGTGAGTATCAAGCACTAGCACAGAGGTTCCCTTTGCACACTTTCCTTCCACTTGTGCCTCTTCATGATGTGCTTCGTATGGACCATAGGATACATCAGGACCTCTCACACCTTGGCATTGAACTTCAGGCTGGCGGATCGGACGAAGAGATCGTGGACCGGATATTGTCATGCGCTACTTCTGTGACAACAAGAGCAGAGTTGCAGTCTATCCTCCTTCAGCGGCTGCTCGTATCGATAGCAAAACACCAAAATTGCGAGGGCGTGCTTTGGGGTCATTCAGACAGCCGCCTGGCGGCTCTTGCACTCGCGGACGTTGCGAAGGGAAGAGGTGGGTCGGTCTCTTCATCGATCACTGATGGTCCGTCTCTACATGGCATCAAGTTCAACTATCCCACTCGTGACCTTTTCAAGGTCGAGCTCCAATCTTATGCGCAAGCGGTAGCCGACCCGCTTGCAACCGAAGGAGAAGACGATGCTGTCGGACAGCCCACATCAGGCATCAGAAACGTTTCGATCGACAATCTCCTCAGCAATTACATAATGTCGCAAGGGGAGAAATACCCGAGCATCATGGCAAATGTGGTACGAACCGCAAGTAAACTTCAGGTCCGGAGCACGGAAAATGGTGTTGTGGCATGTTCTTTCTGTGTGGCGCCTATGACTCGGTCTTCCGACAATTCACGAGTTGATCAAAATCTGTGTTATGGGTGTGAACGGATGAGACAAGATATCAAAATGTGGATTACGCGATAGCGTTATGGATTCATTCATGATCTCAATTCATTCGTCTCGTAATACAGGATAAGGAACGCTCATCGGGTTCTGCTTGTTGAATCAGCCTTTCGCATAATCTGAACTCCGGACAAGCCAACAATTTCACCGTTAACCTCAACGAGTGCGAGCAGGCAATGGAGGTTGGACACCCCCTCTTGCCTCGAGATCACGTTGCCTCTCTCGGTTGGATCTTCTGGACTCTCGTTGCGAGGTGTATCTTGGAGGAGGGCCGTTCTGCGCATTCAACACAGCTTCGTCGTTCTGGTAATCCCACTCGTCAGGCAGAGACGGATCCGCCACATTGGCCTGTGGAGTGCCTTTAATCCTCTTCTGGCCACGAGCACGCAACTCATTCTCAAGGAGTACCACATTTTTGGTGTTGCATTTGTATGCTGCATCAGCAAGGTCGCCAACAAAGGGAATGAGGCCAACCAGGAAGTCGATCATGACGTTCATTTGCATTCGCATCTTGACGGAGGACGGCAGCCCTGGTTCAATGGAGCAGCAGGTGCGGTAGACCATGAGCGCGAGGAGCAAGTCGGCAAAGTCGCCGATGCTAAAGCATGGTCAGTCTTGGGATTTTACGAACAGGGACATTGAGCTAGACTCACGCAGGCACCAGCCCAATGACTGCACCCCAGCCAAATCTTGTGCCCAGGAAGCTTCCCAGACACAGATCGATGCGGTATGCTCTTCTCTTCGCCTTTGTCAGAATCCTCTCCTCCTCCGGTGTCAAGCCGGGTGGAAGAGCCCGCTTTCTCTTCTTGCTTGTCTTGTATAGCCCACCCAGCCTGGTGGCAGGTACTGTCTCAAAGTAAGGATCCTGCGATGAGTTAGGGTCTGGAAACATGTCGTGGCGCAAAAATGGCGTACCTCACGACCCTGGTTATTGGATGAGTTCTCCTGGAATAGTCTCCTGGCCACCAACTTCGCTGCAAGGGATGCCATATTGACGGTAGTTGGCCTGGGACGCTCTCGGGAACGTAGGGTGAATATGAGAAACTCCTTGAAAGGTAGGAGGATGGGAGTGGGAATGAGCGTACAGAGGGTAAGAGATGAGCTTTATGTCACTGCGGATATGAGAATTCAAACAAAGGCATGAGTCGCCAGACAAGCATCGTCAGAAGCCTGGTTGGGCCGCTGTAATTGATTGGCATCCGGTGATCGTCAAACAGTGCCTTAGACGCGCTGGAATTCAAGAAATTGGGCCGGAAATCGCATGGGCTCAGACGTCACTCAGCTTGTCAACAGTGGTGAAGGTATGGTGACTGCACCAGCCACCCAGCCACCTAGCCAGCTGCACGTCTCTGAATTGTGGCTGTGATGCGCCACATCTGCAGGGCGTCCAAGAGCGTCACGGCGTTGCACCGCCTCATGCATTCGGAATCCCTTCTCGCTCTTCGCCCCCTGCAGGCTTGCTGGCTTGCAACGCAATCACAACCCCACAGATCTGAACCGACTAGCCACGTCCTCTTGGAACACAGTCGGTCGCAGTCTAGACGAGGGGCTGTCAACACAACAGTCCGTCGCTTACCGTGCAACATACAAGAGATTTCCCGGGTCGTGGAGATGGTCAAGTACCCTGACCAAGACATCATTTTGAGAGATGCAGCTGGAGGACTGTACGATACCCATGCAAACATGCGTGTGCTCGTGTTCGTGCTAATGCTGGGTGCTGACAGGGCTGGATGACCTTTGTGTCCGTTTCATCATTAATCTGCCACCGGAGGAGCTCGAGTCTGTGGAGCGCATCTGCTTCCAGGTCGAGGAAGCACAATGGTTCTACGAAGACTTCATCAGACCTCTTGACCCTTCCTTGCCTTCTCTTTCTCTGCGCGCTTTCAGCCTACGCATCTTTCAACACTGTCCGCTGTTCTCGCAATGGTCGGCCCAGCACCATACCACTGCCTTCGCCGAGTTCCTGGCATACAAATCCCGCGTGCCTGTTCGCGGAGCTATCTTACTGAGTGAGGCTATGGATGAGGTTGTGCTCGTGAAAGGCTGGAAAAAGAGTGCAAATTGGAGCTTCCCCCGTGGCAAGATCAACAAAGACGAGAATGACCTCGACTGCGCAGTACGCGAAGTTTACGAAGAGACTGGGTTTGATGCCCGTGAGGCTGGGCTTGTGAAAGACGAGAAGGACATGAAATATATTGAAGTGACGATGAGAGAGCAACATATGAGGCTGTATGTCTTCCGAGGAGTACCAAGGGACACCCATTTCGAAGCGAAAACACGGAAGGAAATCAGTAAGATTGAGTGGTACAAGCTGACGGATCTACCGACGTTGAAGAAGAGTCGACAGCATGAAGGCAGCGGCACGGATCACGCATCCCTCAATGCGAACAAGTTCTATATGGTGGCTCCATTTTTGAATCCACTCAAGAAATGGATTGCCCAGCAACGGAAGAAGGAGAATCGATACAGCTCACACCTTGCAGCTCCCCCGATGGTTCCGGAGGATGTGACCATGGAAGAAGAACGAGACACTGATGATGTTGGGGCACGACTGACCGAAGCAGCGGCGACGGCCATCAGCGATCTCCCAGAGGTTTCTGCTTCGTCTTCGGTCGACCCGACCTCGCATCTGAAGGAGATGCTCAATATTGGATCACAACCTATCCAGCAGCAAACGTTGCTGCGACCAAGCCATATGCCACAGATTGACACCCAAAAGTCCAACGCCCTTCTGGCTCTGTTACGAGGAAAGATCCAAGATCAGTCGCGTGCTATGCCCCAGACTCCTGTAGAACAGATCTCTGCGCCGCCTGAGGTTCAACGCTCGCCACATACATCCCATGTACGACAACCACAGATTGATCAAGCTCGGCCGCCGCCACCGTTCCCGCAACAATATCCTCATCTGCGGCCTGAAGTCCAGTCTGCCTTTTCAGGACCGCGAGAAGCCGCCGTCTATCCCTTGACGGCAATTGACCCGGGACAACCGCCTCCACAGGTCGCACCATATCAGAGAACCGGTGATCCGTTATCCATGGGGCAGGAAGCATCACACTTCCGTTCAGCCCCAGTACCTCCGGCCAGTGCACTGCCTAAGTTGACCAGTCATACCAAGGCCCTGTTGGACGTCTTCAAACACGCAACAAGCACACCGCATCAACCCATGGCCCTTAGTACAGTGCAAAGGTCAAGTGCTCCTCCTGGAATCGACACAATGCGGCAGTCTGAAATACAAATACAAGGCCCCCTTGATCGGCGCGAAAGCGGCCAAACTATGAAGGCCTCTAGCAAAGACTTTGTTTCTTCTGAGTCGAACCCAGTCCTCGGGCCATCTCCAACTACGGGTCTGGAGGATCAAGTCTCGTCGCTACTGTCCTCCAGACGGCCCCAAGACGCGCAGAGAACATCTCTCCTTGAGCTTTTCAACCAACCATCGCCACCGAAGATGGTGCATGCTAGCGCTGAGCCTGCCGCGCCCGTCGAGCTCGCAGCGACAGCACCCCAAACTCTTCCTGAGAAGCCAAAAGCGAACAAAGATGATCTCCTTCTGTCTCTACTCAGACAAAGCAGTCGGGTTGCATCTGCGAAAGCTGACGAAGCAAAGAGAGCGGCGCCGAGAGAGGGTGAGACCGCCGCGACAGTCAGTGGACCATTGAATCAGCCCGTGTTTGAAGTTGTACCAAGGAGTACGAAGCATGCGAGCAACGAGACGGGCCGGAGCCGACTCACTGCCCCTCGGACCCTCTACGACCCTAACGCGCCGGCACCGGTGAAGATTTTGACACGATCTGAGGAGAGCCGCCCGCAGCCTCCACGGTCACCAAGGAGCATCAAACCAGCGTCGAAACGAGCAGTGAGGGAAAAGGCCGCTCCGAAGGAGCAGACAAAGCCCTTTCAACCTCAAATTCTCCGTCGACCGCAGACTGCCGATAGTGCTGCTCCTGGTGTGCCTCCACCAGTCGGCGAAGCGGCGGCTCAGCCACTTCCTGCGACTTCCAATATGCCTTCCGCGGCTGTCTCCAACGCCGATATGGGCGGGAGATTGGTGCCGAGCAGGAAATCATCGCAGACTGATGCGCAGAAGCAAACCCTTCTGTCGCTTTTCGGAGGGCAGGTGGAGGCGGCGCCCAATGTAACAACGCCGCAACCGAGTCCCGGAGTGGTGTCGCCTCTGACATCCAGTCAAATCGTGAGCGCCAACGGAGCGGGCCCCGTGTCTGGCATTGAACCTATCTCGACCCGGACCTCGCGCGTGGGAAGCACGACCTCTCTTGTGAGCGGGACGGGAACTGCACGTCCTGCAGTTGAGAAGCGACAGACAGGTGCCGAGAACAAGGCTTTTCTTCTGGGCTATTTGGGCAGAATCGCTACGCAGGACCAGTGATCTAGGATGGCGGTGAGACTTTTACGAAGGTTATGGAACTGGGCACGCGGGCTCGATTTGACGAGCACATGCGGTACACCTCGGAGACGGCGACAATCATGCGGCATGTCACCCGGTGAAGTCTAAATACGGGGACGTGTCGTACTCGCTTTGGCCGTCCCATCCTCAGAGCGGGGCTCTTTTTGCATCCGTGGGTGCACAATTTATGCAGAGGCGTCGCAAGATCTTCCATTCTTTGCTCTCTATCCTCTCCCGGGTGGAGGTTGTCCAGTAGCTTTCTCCGAACTATCACGAATGCGGTAAAAGGCGCGAGTGTCTTTGGTAAAGATCTTGCATGCAGCTCGACCAATTGCTTGGCTACGCAGGTGATGACCTCAGCCGCATGCTGGGTCATTGTACGGGGTAGGAATGAGGCCTAGTCGTCCGACAGGACCACAGCGTGGTGAGCGTGCCCGACGAGGCTAGCTGAGGCATAGGGCCTATGAATTTATTAGCGACAGCCGAGTCCCGTCACAAGGCCACCAGTTCACCGACCTGTAGACGCCCCGGTGCGAGGATGGAAGCGTGGAAGTTGCAGCATGACTTGGTCGAGTACGGAGTACTGTGTACAGGTAATGATGCGTGCACATCCGCGGCGCCTGTGGCAATTCGCGGAAGTCCTGCATACTCGTAGATGAAGCTGGGCTCAGCCGCGCCCGATCGCCGACTCGTACGCGCGGCGGCGGCAGGCAGAGAGATAAATGCAAAATGAAATAGACGAGAGTGCAGAGCGATCTGATCCTCCTTGGGATCCGCCCCATCAGCTAGACACCTGCTGGACATTTTGAGCCTCGATACTCCTTCTCGTCGTCGTTCATTCTCGATGCGTGGCGTTTCAGTCTTTCGCATGCCGCAACATGGCCATGGTGGCGCCCCGTCCGCTCGTTGGAGTGGCAGGAGCAAAGAGTGACGGAAAAGGAATGTTCCTCGCCGCGATCCAGGAAGCTGCTGAATCATCATCGCCCGCTCCCACTCTCAGTCCCGGTTCTTCTCCCAGCGTCACTCTCCGCAAGGTGGTCATACTCAACCATGGCACGGTCCAGCAGCAACAACCCTCTACAGTAGCAGCCGACAGCGGTATGTCATTAGTGATCCTCAATCAGCCATTATCGGTCGTGTTCGAGGCTGCCCAAGCACCGTGCTTTAAACCAACCGGTTCCGTTGCAGGTCGCTCGTGTGCTGACTGTGCTTTCCCTACTTCAGACGCGAATGTCGTCAACGGCCTTGCTCACGATTACAATCGCGGCCTGAGAAACGAGACAGGCGACTTTTCAGGCAACATGTCACCTGTTGTGGCGGGCAGCTCGTCTGAGCTCCTCCCCGCGGCCGAGGGTGTTCTAGATCCGATCTCACGGGTATTGTATACATACCCACCCATGTGTCGCTCGCCAGCTCATCCGAACGTGCAGCAAATTCTCGAGAGGACCCAGTCCCAGAGCAAAGTGCCCGGGGCTTCGCAAGGCGGTGTGTCTGCCAGGTCGCCTTATGCAGACTCCGGTTACTCCGATGATCAGTACTCGGGCGTCTTGAAACCCGAGCCGAATTCCTTGCGGCGGGTTGATAGTAGCACCTCCGGCAAGGAGAAGAAGTAAGTTCCACCAACACATCGTACATCAAGATCAGATGATGCCTGAGCAGGCGTCCATCATCGTTTTCTGCCCCGCTCACCCTCCAGTAATCCTATCCATGGATAAGCACTTTGTGCCCATGTGGTCCCGGTGATCAACCGCTATTGCGGCCGAAAGCTTCAGACTGACCTGACCTGACCTGACGTCTTGGCCTCCCAGCATACTGACGCTTCATGTCTACACAGAAAAGGGGTCTCCTTCCTCAGTCGCATCATGGGCAACAAGAAGCGAGACTCCTTCGAGCTTCACGACGACAATGCGTCCGAGATCGGTTCCGAGGTTCGACCTGCCGGGGTCGAGGCTGAGGTATTCTCGCAGCCCGTGGGCTTCATCCCCAAGTTCCCTGCGCCGCCGCGATACATCAAGGTCAAATCCCAGTACAGGAAACAGAAGGACTTCGACAGGTTGTTCCTTGCCCAGATCATACTGAACGCACCCTCCTCCAAAGGTCGCAAGGCGGAGATAGACTCGAAAATCCACGACATTGGTGAGACGCCCGCCGCCACTGCTCCCACGCCGCCGAGAAATTCAGCCAACCATGCAATATGGGCGATGGAATTCTCAAGAGATGGAAGATATCTTGCTGCTGCTGGTCAGGACAAGAAGCTCAGGGTGTGGGAGGTTATATCGTCCGCCGAGGATCGGGACAACGAGGAGAAACTCTCGGAGACAAACAATGAGAATGTCAAGCTGAATGCGCCGGTATTTAAGAGCAAGCTATGTCGGGAGTATGATGGCCACACGTCGAGTATCCTGGACCTCAGCTGGAGCAAGAACAACTTCTTGCTGTCGTCATCCATGGACAAGACCGTACGGCTGTACCACGTGAGTCGAGCCGAGTGCCTGTGCGCATTCAAACACAGTGACTTTGTGACGTCGATCCAGTTCCATCCCCGCGACGACCGATTCTTTTTGGCCGGCTCCCTGGACTCCAAGATCCGGTTGTGGAGTATCCCGGACAAGAATGTGGCGTATTGGGCACAGGTGCCGGACATGGTGACGGCTGTGGCATTTACGCCCGATGGGAAGACCGCCATCGCCGGGTGTTTGAACGGGCTGTGCATACTGTATGACACGGAGGGTCTCAAGGCCCATTCCCAAATCCACGTCCGGTCGGCACGGGGCAAGAATGCAAAGGGAAGCAAGATCACAGGCATCGACACCATAGCTCTGCCCAGAGAGAGTGCCCAACCAGATGTCAAGCTACTCATCACCAGCAATGACTCGAGGGTGCGGATGTACAATCTGAAGGACAGAACCCTGGAAGTGAAGTTCCGTGGGAATGAGAACTCGTGCAGCCAAATCCATGCTTCTTTTAGTGACGATGGGAAATATGTAATTTGTGGCAGCGAGGACCGCAAGGTCTATATATGGCCTACATCCGTCAACGAACGGCCTGACAACGAAAAGAGGCCTATGGAGGTGTTTGAAGCCCACTCAGCCATCGTCACCACGGCGATTATGGCACCGGAGAAGACGAGGCGATTGCTTGCACAGTCGGGCGACCCTCTGTACGACCTATGCAACCCACCGCCGGTCACCCTGGTAAGCCGTGCGGATTCAGTCATTTCTTCCCGTGCGCCCACAAACAACAGTGCGGACGAAAAACAGATCAAAGATGAAGCCAGGCTGTCCGAATCTCCTCGACGCGCGCCAGAGACACCGGCATATCTGGGCCGTCATTCGCATCCCGGCGGTCAAATAATCGTGACGGCGGACTACACTGGCCAGATCAAGCTCTTCCGGCAAGACTGCGCTTTCCAGAAACGAAAAGCAGAGACGTGGGACACGAGCTCTACCTTTTCCCGGAAGATGCTCGGTCGAAGCGGCTCAGTGGCCACGAGGAACTCGGTGGCGGCTTCGCCCTCACACAGAAACTCTTTTGCCATGAATCCGAAGACGCAGTCGACCGACCGCATCTTGAGTTGGAGGAACTCGGTGAGCCCGACCGATTCGGGCCACAACAATTCCTCGACGAGCATGTTGGAGATGCGTGGCTCGTTGAGGGATAATGAAAGGTCACGGAGCGCGTCACCCAGGAAGCTTCTTGGGCATCGACTCTCCCTCCACAGATCATCGCCTTCGCGGAAAGACAGCCTCGCATCTCCATCCTCTCTGGAACATCACTCCCCGCTACAGCAAACGCAGAATGGACCGGCGATCACAGTTCAGTCGCCGCTCGCCCAGTCGCCTCAAAGCTTTCATTCGGCACCGAGGTCGCCCGACCAGGAGATGCTTTCGCTACAGAACAGCCTACAACCTCTACCTTCAAACCCCTCCCCCAGCGACCTTCCGCATGACGCGAACGATCCTCTTTTCTTGATGGGCCAACAGTCCTACATGGCCTGGGACATGAAACACACACTGATGCCCATGGCGGCTCATGTGCCTCGAACACCGGGCCTGCTCGGCCCAGATGGAAACCCTCTCTCCCGGGCAGCCAGCTACGTCAGCCAGTTATCTAGTGACTTGACCGGTTCAGAGCGGGATCCCAGTCCGGGAGGTAGCATGGGCGACGACGAGCGACGGGCTTCTGCCGTGGGTGCGAAGAACAGAAAATCCTCGCGCTCACAGCGACGGAGTAGTGCGGGCAGTGAAAATGATTTGAGGTGTAAAAAGTGCGGAGGTACGACATTTAGAGCGACCAGGACGGAAAAGGGCCAGAGTTTTCGGTGCAAAAAGTGTGGGACTTCTCTTTGAGTGTTCCAGCAGCTTTGTGCATGGGATTGACGTTGGCATCTGGCGTGTTGCAATTTTGAATGACTACCAGGTAACCTCGAGCAGATGACGAAGCATACGAAGCATGGCGCCGGTCAGTTCTGGAGGTCGGATCACTTACGCAGTACTCAACAAAAAGCCACCAGCAAGCAGGCTTGATTATTTCAGCCAAAAGTTCGTCCTCTCTGTGTGGATATGAGCACCGACCAGCTTGATATAGCGGATTCTACAGACACCAAGTTATATCAATATACATGTACTATACGATCGATGTCTCTCTGTCAACGCATCTTGGTCCCTCTAACCACTGACCGTCAAACTCGGAAGAGAGGTGTACTTGTCTCCTGAGCTGACATGATGACAGAGTCACCCCTAGCTGGCATGCATACGCAGACTTGGTTTTTTTTTGCCCGAGCTGACATGATAGACAGAGTTGCCCCTAGTATACAGATGTAGACTCAGATTCTTTTAGAGCCGGTCGAACGGGGGTCCAGTGTGCTCTCTGTATCCGCGGAAACAGAGAGAGGGGGGTGGGACACTTTCGTTGAGACGCCAGACTTGTGCGCAATGCCATGTTTGAGGCTGGGTGGTAATGGGATGGGATGGGATGGGATGGGATGGTGCGCAGTGCGTCCTGCAGACATCTATTCGTGGTTCGGTCAGGGGGGAGATGTCGTTGGTGCGTTGTCCCCTGCCATTCACTCTTGCAATGCAGATAGATAGGTACAGTGCCTGAGTCCCTAAGTACCCAAGTACCTAAGTGCCCAAGTACCTAAGTACCCAGTCCCTCAGTACTTCCCCAAGTCCCTACTTACCTACTTAACCCAAGTCCCTACCAGGTCCTCACGTAGATGGCTGAAACGAAAATAGAATCCTGACGTGACGTTCTTGGAAGGCTGACCAAACAACATTATCACACCAAGACCCGTTGAACGCTCTTGTACCTTGAATACAAATCCCCCCCGGCTCGTACACAAGTAGCGCTCATGCCGTGTTCGGACACCTACCTCCTGGACGCCTGGCGCCTGTCGTCTGTCGTCTGTCGTCTGTCGTCTGTCGTCTGTCGTCTGTCTCGTCTCTCCAAGGACGTGGGACTAATAGAGCTTGAAGGCTGGCTGGCTGGCTGGCTGGCTGGCAGGCACGGGGTCATTGCTGATTTCTCGGCCACGGTCATCGTCCTGGAGAAGTGGAAAAGGACGTACCTCGTGCGGAACACATAGTATATACTTAGCTTGATCAGTATTCACTCCCTTTTTAAGCACCTTTGTCCACATTCACCGCTCACCGCTCACTGGCGGAGGTTTACAGCAGGTGTAGCCTGCTCGAAGCAACGGTCAAGAAAGAGCACGAGCAGTGAGTAGGTATTGAAGAAGACTCTAGTGGGCAGAGTCGTACGAGAACACCAAGAGTGAGAAGTTTTTGAACAAGAGCCTCGTGGGCAAAGTCGCACGAGAAACACGAAGAGTGAGTAGGTATTGAAGAAGAGTCTCGTGGGCAGAGTCGTATGACATTTAGCGCTCCTACATCTGCACCCGCTCGAAACTCTGCAGTTGATGCTTGATGCCTGATGCCTGCTGCTCGTCTGTGAATTGCGATATCCGTGAGCTTGAAGAGAGGTTCAGTCGAGCTCCCTCGTCTCGAGATCGATAAGTGAGTATGCAAAGTCTGGTAGTGTCTGGACATGGACCTTTTGGATCGCCGTCTCCCACCGCAACCCACTTATCATTGACCTTGATGTGCGTCGCCTTGCCAGCTTCTCGTCCCTTCATTAGCCCTGTCTAGCGAGCTGAAACGCCGTTGCCTTGAATCCAATATGCCCAGGAGAGAAAAAGAGTCAGAACAAAAGTCTTGCGCATCAGGGGTATCATCGTAACATGTTGAATATCGTCAAGAAGGAAACCCGCGCCGGTGGAAAGATTTCTTTTTTTGGTGACAAAAGCAAAAACCTCGCTTTTTCTTTCATGAGCAGCACATAAAGAAGAAGAGGATTGGTCTTGGGTGCCGGTCTCCGCGGCCAACCCGCGACCATGTTGCAATCAAAGACACCAGAGGCGCCGAGAGATCTGTTTCCGGGTCTGTTGAAACCACAGGAAAGCACAACCCCTGACCTCCGGGTCCGACTTTAAAAAGAAAAAAAAACCGAGCCACGCTGTCTATGTGCTCTCACAACTTTATGGATTGTTAGATCCGGCCGGGGGCGAAGGTGGTGAAACGGAAACGCTAGGGGTTTGTCGGTATCAGCTGGGGAGATGCCTGACCCAAGTCTAGAATTTGAGTGTCTTGGGCTGTTCCCAGGTGAAGGTCTGGTCACTGAAGTGACCGTTCTTGGCGGTGCGGCAGTAGATGGGGTTGGTGAGGTTGAGTTCCTTGACAATGACACCAGGTCGAAGGTCGAAGTTCTTGAGAATAATCTCGACGAGTTCGGCACTGGACTTGTCACTAGTGCCGTAGGTTTCCACGAACAGGGAAAGCGGCTCGGCCACACCGATGGCGTAGGAGAGTTGCACCAGAGCACGACGCGCCAGTTTTGCGTGAACCAGAGACTTGGCGATCCAGCGTGCGAGGTAGGCGGCTGAACGATCGACTTTGCTGTAGTCCTTGCCGGAGAAGGCACCGCCTCCGTGGGCGCCCCAGCCGCCGTAGGTGTCGACAATGATCTTGCGGCCAGTGAGGCCGGCGTCACCCTGAGGGCCACCAATGATGAAGAGGCCGGATGGCTGGATGTGGTAGACAGTCTTGTCGTCCAGGTACTGAGCCGGGATGACCTTCTTGATGATTTTCTCCTTGATCTCCTTTCGGAGCTCCTCGGTGGAAATGTCTTCGGAGTGTTGAGCTGAGACGACGACCGTGTCTACTCTCAAGGGCTTGACAGCGCCGCCGTCGTGTGCGTATTCCACGGTAACTTGGGTCTTGGTGTCGGGTCGGAGCCACGGTAGCTCGCCGGACTTGCGGGCGTTGGTCATGGCAGCATTGAGCTTGTGGGCCAACTGGATGGTCAAGGGAAGATACTCGGGAGTCTCATCGGTGGCATAGCCGAACATGATGCCCTGGTCGCCGGCACCAAGCTTTTCCAATGCCTCGTCGTAGTGCAGCCCCTGGGCGATGTCGGGAGACTGCTCTTCAATGGCCACCAAAACATTGCAAGTCTTGTAGTCGAAGCCCTTGTCGGAGTGGTCATAGCCAATGTCCTTGATGGTGTTGCGAATGATTTTCTGGTAGTCCAGGCGTGCTTTGGTTGTGATCTCACCGAAGACCATGATCATACCTGCATGTGTGAGCATGAGAGGGCGCGGTCTTCGGGACGAAGCTGCATACCAGTCTTGGTGGCGGTCTCGCAAGCGACCTTGGAAAGAGGATCATCTTTGAGGCAGGCATCGAGGATTGCGTCCGAGACTTGGTCACTGAGAGAAGCTGTCAATGGAAACGCTACAGCCGAGGAAGTAGAGGTAGCTAGCGACTCACGCAATCTTGTCTGGGTGCCCCTCACCAACAGATTCGGAGGTGAAGAGGAAAGTGTCGCCTTTGGACGTTCCGTTCGCGAGGCCGGTCATATTCGCAACTTGAGGGTGTGCCGGGTAGCTACGAGGTCAGGCAAGTGGTGGTCAAGATTTGTGTGGGAATAATGCGGAGGGGGAGGGTGGAGGCAGGTGGGAGAGGAGGTACCGGATGGAAGGTGACACGACACAGCAGATCTACCACGCCCGGTGTTTTCGTGAGCAGTGAAGAATGACACTGGCTCGATCTGACAGTTAGAAGGTCTGTGTGCAATATGCGGCCACCAGTCTGAGGAAATGCGTGAGCAAATGGTGGGGGAGGTGTAATTATATCACCAAGGGAAAATTTGGAGGGGACAATGAGACTCGGATACTAGGATGTTGCAGGTTTGGAGAAAAAAACGTGCGTGTTGCTGATGTCGTTATCAACTTGACTTTTGACGGGAACCCACCTCGTGCACTGCGAGACTGGGAGACTGGAGGACTGGAGGACTGGAAGTGCCTGGAGTTGGCACCCGCACCGGCATCGGCAGCCTGTCCCTGGCCTGGCACCCTGGCTTGTTCTGCCCTGGACGCACGCCCAAGGATAAAGCCCACCAGACGGATAATTAACTGGCCAACGGGAGTACTCGTAGCAGGTCGCCCCGGTGGCCCCATGGCGGGACTCCCATCGTCCATCGTTGAGACGGGCATCTCTTTCTCGTTGTGATGCGGTGAGCAACCATGATGAATGGTGGGATTTATCCTGTGCCTTTCTCAGCCTATGGGAGACGTCTACTGGGTAAACGGGCAGCCCGTCGTCCGTGCTGGTCAGATCGCGCAATCGTCGGTCTGTCGCCTGCTGGTGCCTGTACCCTGTACGTTCCCCTCCCTAAAACTCTGTGGATCTCGTTCCGAACTGTATCCGGCGATCAAGGCGTACTGGGTACATGAACGCTGAAGGCGGTGGCAGAATATCTTGTCAATAGATCAAGCCAAAATTTTAAGTGTTGTAAGGGAGAAAAGAACGATACACAGATATAATTCGAGAAGCAGACGGCTTTATTCAAAGATTCTTTACCAGTTCCTGTCAAGCACGACGGCGCCAACGCTATCGGGACAGGCCGTGTTACCAGGTCGGACTGACTACGTTGAGCACGAGACACCCAGACACGTTCCTTGTCCGCGATAGTCTTGACCAGGACAAGCAGAGGATATCACCGTACAGATTCTGGCACAGACGGAACTCTCGTTGACGCCCTGACTGCAGGACTTTGGCTGGAATCAGAGGCACAAACCTTGAGAATGAGGCAGCACGGCGCCTTTTCACTCCTCCGATAGACGACTGGGCGCTTCTGCGACGTGTCGAGCACGACGGACGTGACGTCGAATCGTCGATACAGAACCCGGCACCCGACGTCAAAGGCATATCAAGGCACCGTCTTCAAGGCCTGTCCTCCTGAATCGAAGTGACCGTTGTCCGCCACAACCCACCACGTCCCCGGTATCTCCTATCCGCCTTGTTCCTCTGCACCATGTCTAAATTCGGCGTGCTGGTGACCGGGCCTGCCGGGGCGGGCAAAACCACCTTCTGCACCAGCCTGATAACACACCTGCAACACACGCGTCGCTCCTCCTTCTACGTCAACCTCGACCCCGCGGCCACGTCGTTCGCCTACACCCCCGACCTGGACATTCGGGACCTGATCTCTCTCGAGGACGTCATGGAAGAGCCCATGTCCCTGGGCCCCAACGGCGGACTGATCTACTGCTTTGAATTCCTGCTCCAGAACCTCGACTGGCTCTCCGAGGCCATCGACCCGCTGACGGAGGAGTATCTGATCATTTTCGACCTCCCTGGCCAGATCGAACTGTACACGCACATCCCGCTCCTGCCCGAACTGGTGCGCTACCTGTCGCGCATGGGCCCGCTGAACATCAACCTCTGCGCCGCGTACCTCCTCGAGGCGACCTTCGTGGTCGACAAGGCGAAATTCTTCGCGGGCACGCTCTCGGCCATGAGCGCCATGATCATGCTCGAACTCCCGCACGTCAACATCCTGAGCAAGATGGATCTGGTGAAGGACCAGGTCCCGAAACGGGAGCTCAAACGCTTCATCGATCCGGACGCCCAGCTGATCGACGACGACGACACGGGCAGATATCCTCTCTTGCCCTCGGCGGGGGGTGGCGCCGCGTCGGAATACACGGCGCTCGACGTCGGCAACGCGCACCAGATCGACAACGTCATGTCCGGGGGCTCGTTCAAGGCGCTGAATCGGGCGGTGGCCAAGTTGATCGACGATTTCAGCATGGTCTCGTTCCTCCAATTGGACGTCAATGACGAGGAAAGTGTGGGTGACGTGCTGAGCTACATCGACGACGCCATTCAATTCCACGAGGCCCAAGAGCCCAGAGATCCGAAGGAGCCAGAGTTGCAGGAGCCGGCGTGGGAGAACGACTGAGCAGAGGGGTGGGAAGCAGGGTATTGGCCTCGGAACGAGCGGTCTCGAAACGAGCATGATTGAACAGCGGTCCGTGTCTGTCCTCCAAAAACGGTCAAACTACTACTATTCAGCGTCGGCGTCGGAAGGTCGTGCGTGTGCGTGTGCTTTTGCATTTTATGGTCCGGTCGAGGTGTACAAAAAGTAGACAAGCCTCCAACAGATACCCAAAATCCGTGCTTGTGATCAGTCCGGTCGAGGTGTTAAAAAATGGTAGACAAGCCTCCAACAGATACCCAAATTCCAGTGCTTTTGAATTACAATTGTCCCCTGCCATCACCTCGCTTTGCACGGCGGTGAACGAGCGAATTTTGGCGCGCCTAGATTCACGTCCACGCGCTCCGCGCCTTTTGTCGTCCTCGTCCTCCCACGGGACCCTGCTGCTGTCGCCGACTGCCATGAGAATTGCTGCTGCTGCCCCACGCGCCATTTCCGTACCCACTTCCATATCCGCCGGTTCTGTTATCCCTCCCGTCCCCATTGCCCACGACCTTGTCTTCCACGAGGCCCCAAAGGATCCCAACCACCCACTCTGCGTCGCCGAGGGCCTTTTGTAGTCCGTTCCGATTGACGTAGAGGGCGGCCTGCACGAGCACCAGCACCACGACGATCTTGACGAGAAAGACCACCCAGCCGACCACGCTGCGCCGGATGTAGTCCGCAATCTTCAACGAGAGGTAGACGGTGAGGAGGAACGCGGCCAGAGAGACGACGTCGCCGTTCGACGCGGCAGACAGGATGGAGCCGAGGAACGGAGAGATGTTGTTCGAGAGCGACTGGAGCGGGTCGGGTAGGTGAGGGAGGATGTAGCTGTCGTACAGGCTCGCGAAGTGGTGGATGAATGAGGGTAACGCGGGGGTGGGTGGTTGTGGTGTCATGGTGGCTGTTGGGGATTGCTCAGTTCGCGATCTGACGGGAAAGATGCGAAGGAGGCGCCGGTTCATCCAGCAGAGGGCGGATGGGGTCCAGCAGAGGGCGTACTCGTATGGGATCCAGCTGTTGTGTCGGGTGTTGGTAGTCTAGGAAGATAATTCAGATGACCGCGACGGTTGACTTTAGACAGCCGTCACCGAAAAAAAGGTGGTGAAAGTCGACCGCCTGGGCTTTCACCACGAAGTCAACAACGATCTGTCTCTGACCTGCCCCCAGTCTGTTGGTATCCTATGGTCACGCAGAGATCTTGCACACAAAATTAAGCGGCAGTCGTAAGATTGACACGGGCGCACGAGCGATGATCAAAAGCGCGGGGAAATTATGGGAAGCGTATATCCATGTGCGTGTGAAAGGCGTGACTGTGGCACCTATACGGAGTAATTCAGCCGCTGATGGCGCTCTGTACCGATGAACTAGGGAACTGTTGTACAGTACCTCAATATGGAGTAGCCCCGTCGTAAATAGTGCTGTGTACAAATTCCATACCTTCCGTCGGCTCACGATTCTCCATGCTCGGTGGAATGAAAAGTGCTACAAAGAAGAGAAGCGCGCAGTCATGGAAAGGATCTGTCATACCAGCAGGCAGGTCACGAATCGTAGACCGCCGTCTTGTGTCAAGGACGTTGACGCTGCCCAAGACAAGATCACTGTCATCTCTGATCTTCCCGTCGCATCCATGGCAGCCGTGCCGAACCCAACCTCTGTGCATATCCAAGTTCATCCGGGGACCACCTGCCACCCTTTTTCCAGTCCATCCTTGACATCTAATTAATAGCCATTTAGTGCTGATATACAACCCCTCTTTCTGTAAAGGGTATCTTGGTAAGTCACCGCCTGCCCACGGTGGCGCGAGACTCCTTAGACGGCAAACCAAAACTCCGGTTGGAAGAGTCCACATGGGAACCTTTTGGCTCTGCCCCAAAACCGCCAGATCGTTTCCACAATGCGAATGATGCCCCGAACATAAATCGATCGCTAAATATGCGTCCATTAAATATGTGGCAGCAAAAGAAAGATTCCAAGATGACAGGCCCGGGTTCATGTCAATTCATATAACAATGCCCGCGAAGGCTGCATCGTGAGCGTGTACCATTAATAGTCGGAGGCATAGTCGAAGTCATCGTTGAGTAGCGCCTGCACCTTCTCGCGTTCAGCCGTAATGGCAGCTTCAAGGCGCCTTGTCTGGCGGAGGGCTTCGTCCCTGTTCACGCAAGTCAGTGATCGTGGAACTCTTGTGTGCCGACTTTGATGCTTACCTTTCCGACTCGAGGTCGGCGACGCCCATCTGAGCCGTGTTCATGCGTCCCACGACTTCTCCCATCTCTTTCTCGGCTTCTGCGAGCGCTTTCTCCAGTTCCGCGACTTTGTTCTCCAGGTACTCGGTCTTCAGTGCTTGCTGCAATGCTATGCCAGGTCCAGAAGTGGTCTGGTCGAGACGTGGGCTCTTCCTGGAATTGACAAACATCGGGGACATCGGAGAATGAGGCATTGTGGGTGTCAAGTGCCCTGGTGTCTTACGGCCGGATTTCGTGCGCGTCAGTTGTATGTTGTGGCTGGCTCTCAGCACGCGGACTTCTTCCTCGTGCTTCATGACCGCCGTCTCGGACTGCATTTGGGCGACGGTAATGATCTCCTCGAGTTTCTTGAGCTTTGTCTGGAGCTCATTGATTTGCTCGGCTGATGCTTGTTGGTTGCGTTCGCCTCTCTCCACGGCCGTTGTGAGTCGATTCCTCAGGTCAGCATTGGCTTTCATTTGCTTTTTGACCTGGGCAGCCAGCGACTCAGACCTTTGAGCCGACATCTCGAGTTCCATGGCAAGCTCCTGCTCGCTGTGGAGCGAGCCCAAAGACTCTTGGTGCCGAGCCTGTTCTCGCTGCTGCTCAAGCTGCTTCAATGCTTTCTCAAGCGACGACGAAAGGATTTCTGGCGCCGTCTCATCACGGGCTTGCAGCAGCCTCTGCAGACTGGTCGTTTCTTGTTTGCTGCGGTCGAGGTCCATTTTCAAGCCGGACAAGCCCTTTTCACACTGCCATTTCTGTTCGAGAGCATCGTCTGCTCGTTTCCGAAGCAGATTGATTTCCGAGCGCAGAGTTCGAACTTCTCGTTCATAACCTCCTGCTTTCATGCTGCGTGATGAAGTTGCCCGATCGCGTTCGGCCTCGGCGAGTTTGAGCCGCTTCTCAAACTGTCGACGCTGAGCCTCCTGTCTTCGCAACAAGTACTTCACAGTTGTGTGCAACGCGTTCCTTTGTTCTGTCACGTCCTTCAATTGCTCAGCGAGCGGTTGCTGATTTTCAGGGGCGCCGCGGTTGACCGTGGAATTGGACCTGGACAGAGAATTTGACCGGTTCACTGTAGCTCGCGAATTCGATCGGTTCAAGATGGTGTTGGACCTTTGCAAACCACTCATCCGGGGATGCGCCATTGAAGATGTTGGCGACTGAACCATGTCTCCCTCTTCGGCAATGGATTGGAATTGCATATTCATGGCCCGAGCGCTTTGAAGCGCGGCGTTTTCATCTCTCAAGCTCTGGAGTTCCTGTTGCATTCGTGTGAATTCATAATCCGATTTCTGGGTTTCCGACAAACTGGTCTCGAGACCTTCAATTTGTGCCCGCAACTGGGGAACCACTTCGTCACGAAGGTTGTCTCTCTCGTTTCGATGCTGCTCCAAGTCGACGCGCAAGGCCGTTAACAGGTCTTCGAAATTCTCTTTGGTTTGCCTTTCCTCTCCGAGTCGTCTCCGCGCGTCCTCTACGGCGACCTCCAATTCCCTGACCCTGGCGGTGACGTCCGCGGACTCATTGTGATGTCGTCGGGAAAGGGAAAGCTTCTGCTCGAGTATCTGAATGTGGGACTCCAACGCCTGTCTACTGGATCTTTCATTTTGCCATTTTCGCGTCATATCGGCTTTCAACTGCGCCCTGAGCTGCTCCGACTCTCTCTTGATCCGTTGTATGTCTTCCTTGGTGCCGCCCTCACTCGTCGAAGGCCTTACTGAGCTGGCGCCGGAGTCGGAGAAGTAGTCGCTCGTTCGGTCTAGCTCTCTGTTGGCAGTGGGGCCCTCAGTCTGGAGCTGTTCCACGAGATCCTCCAGGTCCATTTCTCTTTTGATTGAGTTGGCAAGCTCGGTGCTGATGTCGCGAAGCTCCGCTTCGAGCTGTGATAAGCGGTCTCCATCCCCGCTGCCCATTGGTTGAACGTATGAGCTACCGTCAAAGTCGATCGAGTCCTGAGATGGCTGCGATGAGGGAACTCTGGGAGCAGTGGAGGGAAACGGATAACCTTGGGGGGAATGCGCGGAGACATTGGCGGAATGACCGTAGGGTGATGGAAATGGTGACTTTCGGTCCGAGATATCTGTAACCGACGTGTCACTGCTTGGCGATGCGGCTGGCTTGCGGCTGAAGAAGGACGTAAACTTGCTCCCCGGGGTCTGGGGTTTCTTCGCGTCAGCCACAGTGAGCGACTTTGTAGAGGAGTTCGAGTCCGTCCGTAGAGGCGCGGGCCTCGACCCTGGTTTCAGACCCATATCCTCCTCTACAATCACGCCATCCACCGAGTGACCATCTGATCGTTTCGACGCGTGACTCCGACTGGGAGAGCCTGCGTTGTTCTCGGCCGCAATTCGAGGGAGGGATCCGTTCGTATTCGTCCTTGTCCGTGTCCGACTGTTGAGGTCTGCGGTTTTGGTATCGCTAATCGGTGAGTTGTTGTTGAGTCCTCTGCTACGGTCAGCGTGCCAAGTCGCATGGTTAGTACGGGAGCCCACCTACATCTGAGTTGTGGCGTCCGACGCAACCCTCTTCCTTTGTATCTTCGGCGGGGAAAACTGTACGGGCTGCTGAGGCGAAGGCACGTCGGGAGAGCTGACAGTAGGCGAGATGCCCGTAGGGAGTGGTTTTCGACGGACAGGAGAGCCCGTGGAGAAAGGATTCAGGGCGGCTGCAATGGAATTGGAAAGCGAGGGGAGACGTTGTAGCGGAGGATGTTCTTTTGGAGGTGGTGGAGGAGCAGCCGCGGAGGCGAGGCCTCGAGCATCGTCGTCCATGATGGGCTCTCAACACCCAGGGTGACTGTGGAGGTTGCCGGCCGTGCGCGGGCAGTGGACAGATCGAGGAGGACCTTTGACGCTTGCCGACGGCCCGTTTAGAGTAGCGACATGGTTAGACCGGTGCTTTGGGCATGTAGATCAGCCACACACAGGTAGCGATCCCACACACAGCTCTGGTGGTGGAACACGACGAGTCTGGCTCATTTGCGATTGATAGTGGAAGAGGGTGCTCGAGGTAGCAGCAGAGGGATCGAGTGGCCGACCAGCCGTCCAAGAGGGTTAGTCGCTCTGGGCTGCCGGGCCTCCCATTGGCCCAGCCGCAAATTAAGCTCACTAAATCTCGACAAGCGGCTACAGCTGCGACACCGTCGCGAGCATCGGGACAGGCTAGAGCAGGAGACGACCGAATTTGCAGATGGATTGCTGCTTGATGAGCGCAGAGAAAGCGAGATTGTTGACCGAGCTCTTTGTTCTCTACGGGAGACAGACGGTGACCTGCATATGATTGCGTCGTCACACGCAACTCGCTCAGGGACCCCATCGATTGCTCAAAGCCCTGTCTCCCCGGGGGCTCATTTGGCCTCCATCCACAAGCTTCATCTATGTGTGAGGGCGTCCGCTTGCGCCGCTACCATCAGGCACTATGGATGAGACGGCTTCAGGGAACCGAGAGTAGCAAAAGTGTAGAGGGCAAACCCACGGTCCATTTCCTGATGCTTTCAGCTCCAGACCAAGCTGAACCCGTCTTGATGCCGATTCGCCTGCCATTGTTCAACCCTTGTAGCCAGCAAAGAGCGAGTCCGGCAATGCTATCTCGTAATTACTGTGCATAGCTTTCCTCTTCTCTTCAGCTGCCGAGCATTCGTCTTCCGGATGGCATGTGTCTCCATCTCGTACGCGCCAGCATCAGAGTCCCTGGTCGACAGCGACGTCCCTCTAGACTAGCTCCAGATCCCTTCTTCACGTCTGCTGCACATCGTGTCGATCACATCATGTGTTTGACACATGCACGAGTGCAGCCAGGGCCTCCACTGATTTCGTCCAGTGGGAGAGTTTTCTCGTTTCGAGCCCATGTCGCTTGGCAGGGGAAGCTGCATATTCCTCCATTTGCACCGCGGGAGCTTCATAAACGGGAGTGTGACCTCGAATTTTCCCCCTCGATCTGGCATGGTGACCCAGAGAGATGATCTCGGCTCTACCCTGTCGATACTGACTCGGGATAGCGGGCTGCTATTCTTGACATCAAGGACGGCTAGTTCGGAGATGGCGCAACGGTCGCACGAACGCCAGAACCGTTCGGGTCGCCACAGAGTTGCAGGGTCGAACGACGAAATTCCAGGGCTGCATTGTGAACCCGGCCACTGCTGGCCCTTGTATGGAGTACGTCTACAATACGAAGTAGAGACTTGCATCAGTTTGTAAAAGCCATGGTCTTTCTAAGGGAGTTTCAATATCTCAGCAGTCTACACGATACCTCCCTCTTCCTACGACTTCTGCCCGTGGAGATGATATAGGTAGGATGATCATCAGTGACCGCGGCCGCCGTACCGGATAGCTCTTCATCGGTGACGCTAGGATGGTAATCTAATTCTCTCACGATGAACATTTAGCAGATGAAGAGATTCTTTCCAAGGTGGTGCTCGATACCGTCGACTCTGAAACCGGCGTCAATGGTGCAGGTCCAGGGAGAGCGAGGCCAGCCCGCAGTTGCAAGAACCACGGCCACTCCTTGAATCACATTACACATGTCACTTGGACCTAATGTAAACCCACGCGCTCAATGCGCTGCTAGTCGTTACACGTTTCCCAAACCGACGCCTTGATATGAAGACTCGGATCCTCACCCAAGTCCAAGCTTTGGATAGATCCCATGTCACAACAGCCCCCAGCTTCGCACTTTACTTGCTCGTCAACTTCTTCCTCTCATCGTCACTGTCTTCCCCGTCACTCCACTCGCCACCTTCGTCTCCCACCGCAAAGATGGTCTCGCCGTCCAAGGACATTCTTGATTGAGGTGGTGCTCTGATGGGCGGAGGTGCTTGGCTGCTGTTTTGCAGTGCAGGTGCCGGGGAGGGCTTGCGAGCAGGTGGAGGCTCCTGAGCAAGTGAGTCCATGACCGTCGTCGAGACCCCCCCTGTAGGAGGAACCGCACGTTCCTGATCCTTGCGTGCGGCCTCTTCGTCCTCATCGTCGAGGGAGTCGGCGATGCTGCGGATCTCGAAGCCATCGTCGTCTTGAGCAAGCTGGGGGTGAGAATGGTCAGTCATGCTTCCATGATTCACGACTTGCTATTGTCCATTGGGAACAGAGTCAAACTCACCTCATCACTCATGGCAAATCTTCTGTTATTTGCCGTCGGCCTCCACAGATACGCAATAAAAGCAATGTTAAACAAGTATACAAGGTTCAACCACCCGTCCAATACAAACCACCTGGTCTGCCAATGATCAGGCACGAAGTTCGCAGCACTTGACCCTGCGAAGGCGAAGCTGTTGATGAAGAAGAAGGCGAAGATGACCAGCACGGAACCCAGGATGCACCAGGACAGTTTCTTGTACATCATGGCCTTGGTCTTTTGCTTGCGGTCGATGAGGTCCTTGATTGTGATGTTGAGCGAGGAGAGGGTCCAGACGTAGAAGGCTGTCATGGTGCCGGCCAGCGGGAGGATGACGAAGAGAATCAGCGGCCCGACGGATTCGGGCGTAACGGCCATCGAGGCGATGGCATAGATGACGCCGAAGACGAAATGTGCGGCGGCTAAGATACGGACGTAGATCATAGTTTTCCCAAGTGACGGTTTCACCACACCGTAGCCCATGCAGACGATCAGCAGGAGGAAGAAGGAGAAGGAGTTTCTCCCAGCGTTGAGAATGGAGACGATGATCATGAAGACTTTGTTGAGGGTGTTGTTGCCGTGTCGATTCTGGTAGTCGTAGAATCCCCATGTCATGAGCTGTTCGACAATCAGGAAGATAATGATGGCCGTGATGTAGTTCTGGACGGGGAGGATGTCGGAGCGATTCTGGAAGTAGAGGAATGCCCAAAACACACCCAGCACAGCGTAGACAATAGTCAAGCCCCCGTAAAAAGGGAGCTTGGCTATCTGAGCAGCGGGCAGCTCGCCGTACGCATTGCGGAACTCAACGATGCCGTTGTACTCATGGTCCGAGAAAGCGTAGGTCGAAACGCAGTAGTATCCCGTGCGGCGGATTGGGTAGTTGACAGCCTTGGGATCTTTGAGATGAATCGCTTCATTGTAGATCGGGCTCTTCGAAGCGTCTGTCGCATTGGGAGCCAGGATGAAGGCACCGATATCTTTCTCTTCACATAGCCCTTCTGACACCGACCCTGTTGTGCATATTGTCTCGAGATCTCGGTATGACTCTGCGCCCGGCGGCATTCGGCCTATGAGGGGCTCATCTTGCCATTCGAATATGACCAGACTCGCAAGAGGATCGGAGTCGTCTTCGGTGTGGTCGGGCAGGAACTTGACCAGGATGAAGGGCTCGATTGACCCGCCCCATGACTTCCGACTGTACATGCCAGCACATCGTTGCCGGTGCTCGTCATCTTGTTTCTGCAGCGGTCAGCATGCTCGCCCTGGATCTGAGCGGATAGAAGTCGTGGCGCACAATCTGCATTTCATTGCCAGCCACAAGGGCCGCGAGATACGCCAGGAGGCCGAGCGAAGGCACCCATCGCTGCATGATGCTGGAAGAGTTGCAACGGATGGGATGGTGGTCGTGCAGGGGAATGGGCCGAATGTCTCTAGCAAGATTTGAAGCTAAGCAGATCGCATCCTGTCATCTTGCGCTGCTGGAGGAGATGTGCTCTTGATTGTCTTGCATGATTCAAGTAATTAGGTGGAAGTTGTTGTTGGAGATGCTCATGTTGCGCAGCCCCGTTTTTGGGCGCAGCTGCGTAACCGGCCAAGCGCAATATATGCAGTGACCGGCTTCATGTGGAATCATCCGGCATAACACACGTACTATCTCCGGGGTCGAGATTTTGACTGCTGGGTTTGGGAAGATGAGTTTGTATTCGTTACATCGCTTGCATTGCCATTTCTCGCCCCGCAGATCGCGATACCCGGAGTGTGGTACAGGTCACCCAGAGGACAGCTACCCATCTTGCACTTGTCCAGCTCTGCTACCTCTTGCTCTTGCTCTTACTTGAACTTCGCCTTCCCTATCAAGCTCCTTGCAGTCTCGCAGGTGTAGATAAGCGGACCGACAAATTCCGCGTCGGAGCCACTGCCCTGACGCTCGTCCGCGTCTAGAATCTCATTGATCGCTCTGAGAAGCCCGCTGGCTACCGCGCGGTTGCTCGTAACCGTCGTGATCTGCCGAGCCCAGCCATAGAGAAATGACGAGGCGTTTATGGGAGTGAGATGCAGCGAGTCCTTCGCGCGGGCAGCAATGGAGGCAGGGAATGCTTGGCAGAAGCGAGCATCCACTGCCATGAGATCACGGCCTGACGACACGACTTCGTGCCCGTCGATGTCGATGTCGATGACTCTGACAGGGAGCCGTAGATCTTGCGGGATATGGTGCAAGGACTGCTCGCCAAAAGCCTGCCTCAGGGCTGATGCTGGCTGATCTTTGTAATGACCCTCGCCTAAGAGGACCTCTGCACGCTTTCGTTCACTCGACGTCGCCATGATCCCAACGATTTCCCTCATCCGCTGGGCGGCATGCGAAGTACATTCCAGATTTCGATTAGCAAAGAGAGGGTATATCTCGCTCGGTAGTATAGGCGCTGACTCTTCGGCTTCAATTTGACTCATGATTGCTCGGTGATAGGGTTGGGACTTGCGGTGATAGGGTTGGGACTTGCGGTGATAGGGTTGGGACTTGCCAATCGCATCAGACCGTAGCTGATCGCGAGAAAGGTGAGAGATATCCGATACCAGAGCTAGAAGTATGGTACAGTCCACATTGATGGTTGGTGTCAAGGGCCCATTCGCCGAGGTAGGCATCAGCCTGTCGAGATCAAGGTGCGTGGGCTCGCGAAAGTTGTTCACCTCGTTGCTGCACTGCACAACCGTACCAGTTGCGCGCAAATCGGCAAGAAAGGCGTCCACATCCGCAAGCACGCCTTCGCGAATCTTCGGTAGGACGAATCGAATCTGTGGATGGCGGAACAGTACTCTCGTTCCTTGTGCAGCGGTCCTAAGATCTTCCGCCAGGCGCACGAGCTCGAGCTTGCTGGGTCTGTCCTCAACATCCTGTCCGCCATCCTCATCGCCATCTGCTCCGTTGCAATCACTAGCATTGCCATAACGTTCCCAGCCTTCCTTCGCCATCTCGAATAGAAGCCGTTTCTCCGTCAAAGTCGAGACTTTGATCCATTCTAGGCCGTTGCGAGCGACAATGTCCACGACAACCCCTTGCTTGCGAACATCTCCAGGCTCCGCAACCTGACTTTCTGAATTTCCGCCCCCAGATCTTGCTTGAGCGCCGCAGCCGTTTCGTGGGGGGTGCATTTTCTTGCCTAGGGATGTGATGCAGTGGCTCGATTTGGCCACGTCCCAAACCGCTTCATAAAACGGAAGATTCGAACTCCTCAACGCGTGCAATTGCGGACTTTGGGCCTGCTGGTCGCTGGCAGAAGGGCATCCATCAGGACTCGCAAATACAAGCCTTAGCTTCTCTAGAGTCTTAACCTCTGACTCGATGCCCCGCTTGAATGCCCGGAGCTCGACTTCTTGTTGTTTTCGGCGCAGTTTGAGATGCTCTTGATAGCACCGAAATTCTCGCAATAGTGCATCTGCACGTTGGTGCAGATTTGCAACGAGCTCAGTCGGAGATGAATAGGTTGCCTCGTCGGATACCTCCATGTTCGCAAGCATCTTTGCCCTAGCAAACCGAGTAGGTTGGGACACGGACCGGCGTGACAGATCGAATATTAAAAAGTGCCAGGCGCAGGTCGAGGTGCGACATGCATTGCGGAGATAGAAGCCCACCCGACCTTTCTATTGGCGGAATGGGAATACCAAGCCAAGCGCTGATATCCCTCCATGGATCGGGGCTTGATTTCGAAACCGGCATAGTTAGTTGATGGAGAGCGCCTGTGGTCGTGTCGTCGTCCCCGGTATTCCCAATCTGATGTCAGAACTCTTCAAAGATCTGCATGTCTGATTTGGTCGCCTGGCAACCACATGCACACCTTGGTGTCCGCCGTCACCAGCTGATTGTAACGGGGGTTGCATTGCACGACTGGTGTCTTGATCCCTCGACTGTTCAGTCGGGCGGCAGGTTCCAATCGGATATCGGCGGTACTCTGAGTGTCCCAGACGAGTAGATCCGACTCGCCTGTTCCACCCACGACATATCTGCCGTCTTGGGTAAAGCATACATCTCCTTGCCCCAGTGGCTTTCCAGAAGCCGACACTGGCGCAGCCCTTCCACTTCCCGCAGTCTTGCCCACCAGGAATGATTTGACTGTCCCATCGAAGGCGTCCAGGACAAAATGACCATGATAATCTGTACCAAGCAGCATGTGTTTCCCATCATTAGAAAATTCCAGCTTTGTCCATGCCCTGCCCTTTGTAGTTGGAGTGTAGCGATCCTCCGCATCCAGCATGTCAAACGTCGCAAAGGGGGCTTTATCGAAGTTGCGGACGTCGTACAAAAGGATCGAAGAGGTAGATTGTGAGGCTATCGCCATGATCTGAGCGGAAGGGTCGTATGCTGCAAGGTACGGAGTCACCAGTTTGAGCTTGCCTTGGGGGCTTCTTGAGTTCAAGTCCCACAGACAAACCATGTCATCGTTGCCGCATGATAGAAATTGGTCGCTAGCAGGAGACAGGGCGATACAGGTGACTTGGCCGGTGTGCGCAGTAAAATAGCGAACGAAGCTCTCGTTGTGAAGCTCCAGTAACCGCAGAGAGTTTTCTTGCTTGGTACTAGCGAAAAGCACGTTCCGTGAATGGTGAGTGAACCGAGCTAAATGAATACCGTACTTCTTGCTCGGTATTGTCTTCGTCCTCTTGCCCTCTTTGATGTCGTATACGTGCATTGTCTCATCGTCTGAGGCTGCCACCAGAAATTCGCCCATATCATCGAAATCAAGGGAGGTGACCCGGCTCTCGTGTCCGTCCGAGCGAGTGGAACAGGGGAATTGCTCATAGAAGTCAGCATGAGCCGGTACCTTGAGGACAGAGGCACTCACTCTTGCAGGACGATAGTGTTTGACGACATCGTGTACTTTCTGTTGGGCGGGGACTGCCATGGCCGGTGAACAAAGTCTCTGAGTCGAAGATCCCTCAAGTGGCATCCACCACGGGGCTTCAAGACCAATAGGCAAAAGCCTCGGGCCAGAGTCTAGGGTGGCTCAAAGGGAGAAGGAAAGCAGGCAATACAGGGCGAAGTACGTATGCGCTTGCTGCTGGAAACAAAATCGCATTTTAGGAACTTTTGAGTTGAAGTTGTGGGGAAGCAGATGCGCTTCAGGTACAGAACATGCGTGACAGGGTGACAGGGAACAGGTGCCTAGGCTTCGGATATCAGCGGGTATCTTGGGGGCCTGGCACGCTTGCTCGCCGCCTGTGGCAGCTTTCTCCAAGAGCCCGAGGCTGATTTTCGGCTCCTTCAGTGCTCCACGCTTACAACTCCTACTCGTACCCAGAGCACCTCAGTGGCACTACTGGACCTTTCTCCGATTGTCGCCCCGTAAATCTTTCAAAGTTTTGTCCTCCGGTAATAATTTATCCCTTATGAGCATCTCGCGCCCTGTCCTCGACCACGCTGACGCGCCACCCTCTGCTTATCCTTTGATTTCAGAGATCTCACCGTCCGGAAACATGGGCGCCTGATCAGCCAATTCTCGCAATAAAGTCCAGGCCGAAGTTGAGGAAACGGGGACAGGGAGACGCCCACTCGAACGCTTGACCATGTCGACAACAACCGGCGCATTCATTGCTGGCGGCATTGCTGCTTGCGGTGCTGTCACCGCGACACATCCGTTCGAAACAGTAAAGATCAGGCTGCAGTTGCAAGGAGAACTGCAGTCTAAAGAAGTTGCTGTCAAGAAATACAGAGGTGTCTTCCATGGTGTTGGGGTGATCGTAAAGAACGAGGGCTTGAAGGGAATCTATAGGGGTATTGGGACGGCATACATATATCAGATCCTCCTGAATGGCTGTCGGTTGGGCTTCTACGAGCCATTGAGAGCTACGTGCACGAAGCTCATTTACAAGGACCCCAGTGTCCAATCTCTCGGCATCAACATCTTCTCCGGTGCATCCTCTGGTATTCTGGGAGCAATGGCAGGCTCGCCGTTTTTCCTAGTCAAGACGCGCTTACAGTCGTACTCGCCATTCTTGCCAGTCGGCACCCAACACAAGTACCGCAATGCCTTCGATGGACTGTCACAGATCTTCAAGGCCGAAGGCGTGAGAGGTCTCTATCGAGGCATGGGCGCATCCATGGTCAGGACTGGAGCAGGAAGCTCGGTCCAGCTACCGACATACTTCTTTGCAAAGAGACGGTTAATACGTCATTTCGGGATGGAGGATGGCCCGGCGCTGCACTTGCTAAGCTCCACGGCGAGCGGCTTTGTTGTTTGCGTCTTCATGCACCCGCCGGTATGCCCAGGCTCACTCCCACATTGTCTCTGTAAACATCTCTAACTTATGATACAGGACACTGTCATGGCCAGACTGTACAACCAGCACGGCAATTTGTATAACGGCATCTTCGATTGTCTATGGAAGACCATCTCGACTGAAGGTGTGCTCAGTGTCTACAAAGGATTCACAGCCCATCTTGCTCGGATATTGCCTCATACAATCCTTACCCTGTCATTAGCAGAGCAGACGAACAAACTAGTACGGGGAATTGAGACCAGAATTCTACCGAAGTCTCTCGAGGAGAAGCTGTAAGGTGGCGGCGTAGGTCAGATCACTTCAGCGATGCATGCTGCGGCGTCGGCAGGACGAGGCGGCCTCTTCTCATCTTGTTTGTGGTTTTGTCTTGCAGCGATCGACCCATTGGTCCATGCATGGGGACTGTTTTTGGGCATAGCACTGGATCGAGAAGGAAGGCCAGGGTTCACAATATATCCAGCGATTGCAAAAGCTCCATGCAGAAAGAGGAGTTGCGGGATGTGCTTGCAGATGACCTCGGTCTTCGTTCGAGCTTCTTTGGGCTCTGGCTCTCCCAACTCCCCTTAACCACCTCGTGTCAAATATCCGTGCCAAAAATTGCTTGAGTGCTCTATCTCCAGGTGTCGTCGTGTATCCGTACTGTGGTAGAATAGTTACACATCCGACTTAGAGTCCAGAACGCCCAAGCTCTTCACAAACCAGAGAAGCGGGAGGCTGGCCAGGCTCTGGATGCCGACTTCGGAATTCGAAATCAGCGACAGAACGCACTCATACGTCATCGATTAGATTAGATTTCCACGAAAGCTCTTAATGTTCGGTCCTCCCTAGTCGTGCAGAAACTTCAGGCAGCTGTCCCAGGAAGGTAATGACAGGCTTAGGGAGGGCTGTGGTCTCAACCCATTCGAAGACATTTGCTCAGCATGCCGTAACCCAGAATCCACTGCATGGTCACACTCACGGGTGGATTATTTTGATTGTTTTGAGTGGAACCTCAATTAGTGGCTGGCAGTCGACACGCTCCGTCACGCTACGTCGAATACACGTCCACGGGCTTAGCGCGTCTGCCTCTCTTTAAGAGCATTGGATTCCCATGCAGTCTTTCACTTTCTCATACCAACAACCAACCGCAACCTTTACCTCATCCCACCCTTTTACAGCTGCTTCTTTGTTCTTCTACAGTATCTATCTCACACGCAACAATGGCAACTCAAGTTACGCCGTCTAAACAGGTCCGTTTGCCACTTGCATCATTGACTCGTCTTGAGAGGTGCATATTATTAACGGATACGCGCAGGCGGCTGCAAGCCTCGAATCGCTCAAAGTCAAGGACAGTCCCGTCAAGAAGCTCAACTTTGACACGGAGAACAAGGAAAACATGCCTGTCACAGTCGAATCAACCGAGTCCGCCGCTACAGCTGAGTCTGAGATGGTGAAGAAGCCTGTGCTAGAAGCCAAAGAGCACACTGAGCAACCTAAGGTCACAAAGACGCCCAAAGAGCTGGAGAAGGAAGAGCCTCTACTACAAGAGAACCCTCATCGCTTCGTTCTCTTCCCTCTGAAGTACCATGAGATCGTACGTGTCGCGTCCCTCAGCAATCCCTTGTCTGTTCATTGATTGATCTTCAATGTGACGGCTAACGCAGTGCGTCGCAGTGGAACATGTACAAACGTGCCGAGGCTAGCTTTTGGACAGCAGAAGAAGTCGATCTGTCAAAGGATCTGCACGATTGGCACAACCGACTGAACAACGATGAGCGCTACTTCGTCTCCCACGTCCTTGCCTTCTTCGCTGCTTCAGACGGTATCGTCAACGAGAATCTGCTGGAGCGTTTCAGCGCCGAAGTGCAGGTCCCGGAGGCACGCTGCTTCTATGGGTACGCGTCCATGTCCCTTACACTGATGCTTCAGACACTAACGGCTTCGCAGCTTTCAGGTCATGATGGAGAACATCCACTCTGAGATGTATTCACTCCTCATCGACACCTACGTGAAGGACCCCAAAGAGAAGACATACCTGTTCGATGCTATCGACACCATCCCCTGCATCCGCAAGAAGGCCGACTGGGCTCTGAGGTGGATCTCCGACAAGGAGTCCACTTTTGCTCAACGACTGGTTGCTTTCGCAGCCGTCGAGGGTATCTTCTTCTCCGGATCGTTCGCTGCAATCTTCTGGCTCAAGAGCAAGGGTCTGATGCCGGGTCTTACCTTTTCAAATGAACTCATCTCTCGTGACGAGGGCATGCACACCGATTTTGCATGCCTGCTGCTGCAACATCTCAAGCACAAGCCCGATCCAAAGCTCATCGAGAACGTCATCACTGAGGCAGTCGCTATCGAAAAGGAGTTCTTGACTGAAGCGCTCCCTGTCGGTTTGCTGGGCATGAACTCCAAGCTTATGTGTCAGTACATTGAGTTTGTCGCCGACCGTTTGCTGCTTGCCATGGGCAACAAGCGAGTCTACAATGCTCAGAATCCCTTCCCATTTGTAAGTGTGGCCTTTACATATTCCCGTACTCCAAATTGCTGATCTTCTTCGCAGATGGAGAACATCTCACTAGCCGGCAAGACGAACTTCTTCGAGAAGCGTGTTGGTGACTATCAGAAGAGCGGTGTCATGTCTTCGACCAGCAAAAAGTCCGAAGACAAGTCATCGGCTTCATCACCCAGTCAAGAGAAGACCGAGGAAGCCAGCAATGGCATCAGCTTTGACGAAGACTTCTAAATCCCCTCTAGCTTTACTTACGACCACTTCATCTGTTCGAGGTACTCGGCGTACGGCGTTATCGTAGGATCGGATGACGGGAATGAAGACCTTAGAGGGTGGCTCATGTTTTCTCCACTTTGTTATACCCACTTGCATCATATTATCAAAGGCACTGGTGGAGTCAACCCAGCCTGGCAGGCATAGATGCCGCTGGACCAGGGTCCTGTTTGATGACCACTACCGGACTGCAGTTGACCGCAGTCTGTCCTCACCTCCTTCTGCTCAGCACACGTCAGAAAGGATACTGCTACAGTTTTTGGAAATTCAGGCGCCCGGGGCTCATAGCGCAGTGGTGTTTGGGCTCTGTACGGAACACATACATACTAGGTACCTAGTTCAGGGCTGGAATCGAAAACATGAAGCTTTCGACAGTCCATACCTCTTCCTGCACATCAACGTCTGCCACACACTATCCCTAGTAGTAAGTAGAGCCCCTGCATAAGCGAGCCTTAGCAGCCTCGTCGTCCCAGCGGCTCGGAATCATATTGATCCGAGTATCCAGGGACGAGGAACTAACAAATACGTACGTAGTAGTATGGACTTTTTGGAATTCTCGCTACCGTCCACGTGTACCCGAGAACAGAGCCCGGCGGCACGGCGGCACGGCAATAGCGCTGTGGATTCAAACATCCTAGTGCTTCTCTCGCCCAAGGGAATGGCATTCAAAGGCACGTACGAACGACGAGCACAGTACGAGTTTACAAGTTAGATGGTCGAAGGTCCGCAGATGCTACGAGTAGCCCGGTTGCTCGAGATTCATGGAATACTGTAGCTCGTATCCTGTCTGGTGCAAAAGCCCCCAGAGACAGTGGCGTAGGTACCATAGTATGTACAACGGCAGAATTCGAGCGGTGCTGTCTGTCCACCTCCGGCGTCCTCGAAAGTCCATGTATGTACTCCCGGCCCCACTGAATGGCTTCTGTCTGCATTGTACTGGGAATTGTAGGTCTGGGGTCTTGACGCTGCGTCGGCGTCGCATGGGGAGGGGGACCCACCCACTGTCATGGTGTTCCAGGTCTAGCGTTCTCGATCTGTATTGGGTATTCTGGCATTGTGACGCCTTCGCATCCGACCAATGTATTCGTGTTTCGTTGTGCTTGCGTGCTCGTGTGCTTGTTCCGAACCGAGTACCTTGTCTGCTTGCTGTCCGCTTGCTGTCCTCGTGCCCTCATGGTTTGGATGTTCGTCGAGATCCTGGGCCGAGATGGTGATCGGCGCCAAACCCCCTCTACCTGGCGACGGGTCCCCAAGAGCACGATTCCCTCCTCCTCCTCCAACGGCCCTGGAAAGTCTTTTGCACGTCTGGCTCGTGCGTGCTGGGGCGTACGAGTGCTGTGGATTTGTAGAAAATCATATACTGATGCAGCCGGCCGGCCAGCTACTCACTCACTCGCTCGCTCACGCGCGCAAAGGACGATGAAGATCCATCTCACAACTAGGACGCCTCATTTCTTGCCTTTCTTTTTCTTACCCTTGCCACCACCACCACCACCACCACCACCACTTGCCTGCGGTGTGATTGCCACGGGCGGCGCAGTCGCTATTTTGTCCTCCATCTTCACGGCCCCGCCGTCGACCTCCATCTTATCGGCATCGACGTCCGTGGTAGCCGTCGCTACGCCGGCCGCAGGAGCAGAAGCAGCGCTAGGCGGCTCGATCGTCTCTCCCCTCGCTAATCGTCCCAGACCGGTCAACAACCTGCCCACCTCGGCGGCCTTGTCGGTGCGGTATTTCAGGCAGATCCCGCTTTCGGGATGGTATGTCTTGAGGGTGAGTGTCGCCGAACGATCGCGCTTAGGTTGTGCCTGTGCTTGTGCTTGTGCTTGTGTGGACGTTTCGGGCGCCGAGCCAGTGTCCTTTGAGGCGTCGAGGCTGGGTTTGGATTTTGCCTTTGAGTTCGGTTTGCGGGGGAGGGAGTATTTCGTTGTGATGCGCGTGGTTGGGTATGCTTGGATGAGGAGGGAGGACTGGTGGAGATAGATGTTGAGGTCGGAGAAGTAGGGCATTTTGACCTGCTGGAGGGGGTTTCTGGTTGTTTGAAGCTGGAGCACGAAGGAAGTTGTCCTTTCAGCAAGAGTGCTGTGAATATCGATGTTGAATTTGTGTCGTGCTACTTCGACATGTTTGATTCCAAGCAAGTCACGTCCGAGAAGATTCACAATGGAGAAGTCAGCTGAGGCTTGAATATGTCATGTAGAAGGCCGGATCCTTCGTATTGAGACCTTTGCTGGACGGACTGCAAATGGGTGTCGTCGAAATCTTCTTGACACTGGTCCCGTCACACTCGTGTGCAAGTGTCAATTGAATGCGGAGGAAATGCGCGGGGGATTTTCTTGTCTTGGCGGCTGAACGACAATGAGAACGCGGAATAAATTATTCACAGCCACTCAAGACTTTGGTGCCAACCATGAATACGACAGAGACATGACTCTCTCCGGATACATACCTCTGCGCTGTCAATTGAGCCAGTAGCATGTGGTGTCACCCCATACCATTGGCTGAAGATGACATTCAAGTTTACTCACGGAGGTATGTATCTATTACTCGAACTCGTCTGGCCTGGAGAACGTGCCCTCATGTTCTCACCTGGCTCGAGTAATGGACGCCGAGTGAGGCGTAGACATCTGACCTTGGTGCAAACGATTGTATGAGTACGACTGCGGCTACGAAGGTTCTACTTCCTGCAGTTCATGCTTGAACCAGCATCTCCGCCGCCTTCTCGCCGATCGCGTACGCCGGCATCTGAGTGTGTCCGCCGTTCAGACTAGGTATGATGCTGCAGTCTGCAACCATCAGGCCCTTGACGCCCTTGACTCGCAGCTTGTTATCCACCACCGCCATTGGGTCATCGTCCTTCCCCATCCGACACGTCCCTGCCGGGTGATGCGCCGTGGCGCTGTACTGCCGCACGTACCCCTCCCAGTCCTTGCCGGTCGTGTCGGGCCCTAACGCCGCGTACTCCGGTCCAGCCATCCACACGCCGGGGGTGATGATGTCTTTGGTGCCCGAGCCGGACGTCACAATCGAGTGCGCGTAACGTACGCCTTCAGTCAGCATGAGAAGGTCGAGAGGGTCCGAAAGATAACGTGGGTCGATGGCGGGTTTATCGTGCGGGTCTGCCGACCGGAGTGTCACGGCGCCTCGGCTCTGCTGGCTGAACAGCAGGGTCATCATCTCGAAGCCGTGCTTGCCGTCCAGAGGAACATCACGCCCGTGGATGTGGCCCGAGTAGAGCTCAGTGTGCATGTACTCGACGTGAGCTTGCTGTCGTGTGAGGTTTGCGGCGTCGCGATCGGATCCGGCCGTCGCGGCAGAACGGTCGCGCCACAAAGGTGAGGATGCGAGGGCGTCGTCCAGGCGCGCGAGGGCGAACACACCGAACGGAAACGTGGCAAAGAAGCCAGATCGGGAGGCCTGATATGTCGATAGCGAGTTTGCGAAGCCGTCCTTGTGATGCACGTGGACATCGTTCGTCAGGTTGGGCTGCGTGACCTCGTAAGGCACGAAGACGACCTGACTAGTAAATTAGAGGCCCATGTAGCCCGGATGAGAAGTTGATTCAGGACCGTCAAAAAAGGGGGGACTTGCCAGGTGGTCTTGGAAATTCTGGCCCACGCCAGGAGAATCGACAATGCACTCAATGTTGAACCGTGCGAGCTCTTCTTTCGGGCCAGTACCTGACCGGAGGAGAATGGTGGGTGAGCAGTACGCTCCTGGTGTCCTCATTAGATGACCCCCTATCCGATGCGAAATTCAACACACTTACCTGCAGAGACGATGATTTGCTTGCGGGCTTTTACTACCTTTGTCTTGCCAGAACCGTCGATGACCGCAACACCCGTTGCCACTGCTGTCCCGTCGCGCTGCTCTAGCACAATCTTGTCAACAGTAGCGTTTGTCACGATATCGATCTCACTCTCATGTCCTTGCAAGAACGCCGGACTATACGATCTCACGCCCTCGTGGACCGTGCGCGGGACATGGCCACAGCCGTGTGCCGGCTGCCCCGTGGTGAACATGTCATCTACGAACGGCAGGCCCTTATCCTGCATGGATTCTAGAACTCGGTCCGAAATGGGTGCCAGCTTATGCGGTTCAACGTGCAATGGCCCGTTGGTCCCGTGCTCGCCCTCGGCCGCCCGGAACCAGTCGATACCATGGAACGTTTCAGCCTTCTTCATGCACCGGAACATGTCCTCCCCCGTCCAGCCCTCTAGGCCCCAGTCGTCGTAGTCGGCCTGACAGCCGCGAATGCACAGCGTGCCGTTGAAGCCGCTACTGCCGCCGAGGAACTTGCCACGGCTGAGCTGCAGCACGCGGTTGTTGAGATGCTCCTGCGGCACCGTCTCGAACGACCAGTCCATCTCGCCGCCCATGGCTTGGAAAAGCCCGCCAACCATGGTCACGAGCGGGTTGGCTCTCGAGTCCGGGCCCGCTTCAACGATCAGGATGGATGCATTGGGCGAAGAGGACGTGGGGCAGGCTTCGGCCAGGCGACCGGCCAGCACACAGCCCGAGGTGCCACCTCCACTTGAGCAGGGAAGAGGAAAGCGTTAGACGGGGCGAGATACGGCGTCTTGAGTGATAATACGAAGAAGCAAGCCAAAGTGTTAAGACTTACCAGATGATGTAGTCGTACCATTCGCTAGCGTCCTCGACGGCCCGGACCGGCGACATCGTATTGCTTGCTTGTTTGGTGAGAACAGAACCGACTGTTACACACGGAATCAGGGGATCAGGGCACGCTGCGGAAGAGGTGACCTTGAAGTTGCAGCGAGGACAATACTCCGAAGAAGATCTTGCGAAAAGACCTCAATCAAGGCAGCTGGCGATGCGACACTCGACAGACTCAAAGACGCTCTGCACGCCGCAGGACGTCCGAGAAAGGGCCAGCACACCAGACTTGGCGTAGACACGCACTCTCATTCGGCCATCCTCGTCTTCGGCGATAAACACAGCATCAACGACAGATTGGCGAGGGCGAGCCGAGGATGGTCCGGGCAATAATCCTGGAGCTACGAGTCGCCAAACAGTAAGACGTCCTCCATCAAGACCACTCACAGAATACTGCACCTGAGGTTGACCGGGGGTCTGTCTGCATTCGGCTTCTGCTGCTCAGTATGCGCGACTTCCTGCCCATGCTCGAGTTCTCATAGCACGTTCCAGAAGAATATGGCAGCTTGTTCGACATCTGAGGCTCGATCTAAGGGGAAGAGCCCGCGACTGGGTCATTCGATACACATTGGAACTGTCGATTCCCCATGGTAGGTCCACCGGCAGAGTAAGCAGCGACAGAACCTTCATTGTCTCGGAATAACTCATCACCATCAGTGGTACGAGCCGGCGCCATTGACTTTGGTCGCCCTGGATAATGTGGACCTTGGGCGATATTTCATGCAAAGCCAAGGTCACGTGTGCATTGTTCACTACACTGTTCTCTCGTGCGAGTACAGGTCTCGTCGTGTCGAGCGCCGGTGCAATTCAACGCCGTCGGCCACTTCATTCTGTCCGCAATTAAAGTGGCACAGCGGGTGCTACGAGTTCAAGACCTCATGGATCACTTGATATGGGAGTTTCTGGGACCGAGCAGTCCTCACCACATCCCCCTTGAGCCAACCATCAAGATTCGACCTCCTTGCCACCCTATCATCCTTCTGCCAGTACCTGACAGTTATCTCTGTTCTTCTGCGTGGCTCTGTCATGTTGCTTTCAACCGCAATCACGCTCCCATGTGGTCTTCGCCTACCAACTCGGCTCTGCAAAGTAGGTGCAGCCAATCCTCTCACAATGAGGAACGTACCTCTAGGTGATGAATATCTCGCTTGACGAACGCTAGGCGGCAATGGCCGAGTCGATGTCACCAAACCACCACCCAGGCGAGAAGTTTGTCACTGCGTACGGGAAATGGGCTGACGGCGGCTGGGGAATGATATTGACAGGGAAGGAAAAGTACATCTTTCAGCCTTTCAAAGCTAATGGAAGCTCAGGGAACGTACAAGTATCCGATGTGTACCTTGGAGCGCCAGAAGACGTGGCAGTTTCATCCAAGGTGCCGTCTCGACACGCCGAAGCCGTCCAGGAAGCTTGGAAAGACTGGGCCAAAGCTTGCCAACGGCACGGAACGCCGACGATTGTTCAGCTCTGCCATCCAGGACGCCAATCGCCCCTAGGAGCCGGCAATCGTTCCTTTTTCGCAAAGACAGTTGCTCCGTCGGCGGTAAAGATGGACTTTGGCCCCAGCTTGATCGAGAGACTTGCCGTCTCTCTGATATTCGGGACTCCCAGGGAGTTGACAGCCCAAGAAATATCCGGAGAGTGTGGGATCGTCGATCAGTTCGTGGCGGCAGCAAGACAGTCATTCGAAGCCGGGTTCAAAGGCGTGCAGCTGCACGGAGCGTAAGCTTTCACAAGCCATTCGAATAGGACTCTGCACCCTGACACGCGTCACAGGCACGGGTATTTGCTTGCCCAGTTCCTGTCGCCCGAGTCCAACCGTCGCACGGACGACTTCGGCGGCACACCCCAAAAGCGAGCGGAGATCGTCCTCCGCATCATTCGGGCTATCAGACAGGCGACAAACAAGGAATTCTGCATCGGCATCAAACTGAACAGCGTCGACGCGGCTTCATCCGAGTCTGTCTCTGATGTGATTGACCAAATCCGCCTGATAGTCGAGTGCGGGATTGATTTCGTCGAGATCTCGGGCGGCACGTACGAGAAGCCTCGAATGCTGGCCGAACCTACAGCAGCCACAACGCCTTCCTCCAAGAACGCCGAGAAAACCGCCGCGAGGGAGAGCTTCTTCTTGGAATTTGCCAAAACGGTGCGGCAAGCTTTTCCCCAGCTGGTCCTCATGGTGACGGGAGGGTTCAGGACGCGGCTCGGCATGGAAGCCGCCCTGGAGTCGCGCGGGTGTGACTTGATAGGCATCGCCCGACCGGCAGCCATTCTCCCCAGCTTGCCAAAGGATATCATCTTCAACACGGAGGGCGTCCCCGACGAGGAGGCGCAGGTGTCGTTGGCCCCGCTGCGTCTGCCCTGGCTGTTCCGTCATCTTCCCGTCAAGCAAGTCGGAGCGGGCTTCCAGACCAAATATTACGCTTCCCAGATCCAGAGAATGGGAGCAGGGTTAGTACCGATAGATACGAGGTTGACGGTCTCCAAGACCGGATGAGTGAGTTATCATTCGATACATGGAACGACTCCCCAGGCGATGTAGACTTGGAAATAGAACTGTAGCATGATCCAGCAATGGGATGGAAGTAGATGCCAGCAGGAGGGGAGATTGGGTGACGATCATGGCAGAAGTACGGTTTGCACAGCCAGTCACAGAGTACGAGCCAGGTACTCCGTACTGTACCCAAGGATGGTCCCCGATCGGAGGCTGTGCGGAGAGTCTATCACTGGGGTCCAAGGGGGGGGTAGAAGGCGGACTCTTCATCAACAACATCTTGTACGAGTACGAGCATAATACAGTAGAGCATCTCCAACTCATCAACAGCCGAGGAAGCTATTTAAAGGGCCGCATCTCACATCTCACATCCCACCCACTCACTGTGTCAAGAATGATCTCGATCTCGCAATCGAAACCCGTTCGACAGCATCTCTATACACGCCCAAACCACCATGGCCACCGATCTCGACATAGCCTCGATATGCGCTGAGATCGCCCGCTCATACTCGCCGTGTGACGTGTCGGACGCGCTGCTGAAACTGCACGTCCCCTCGGCGGGCTACCTCCGCGACATCTCGCCCATCCCCACGCGGCATGGCTCGACGAACCGGCTCGTCGCGCCGATCAGCACCGTGCTCTTCGTCGACACCACCCACACGCCCGAGACGCAGTACGACGGCCTGATCGTGCCCCCCGCGTCCAACATGCCGAGCGACGAGCATTTCTCCGACGTGGCGCCCGCCGGGACCGTGGTCCTCCTGCAGCAGCCCGCCCACCACGTGGCGTCGCTGCTGGGCGACATCGTGGCCACGCGGTACAAGGTCCGCGGCGTGAGGGGTTGCTTCGTCGACGGCCGGTCCCGCGACAGCGTCGGCTGCGGCGAGCTGTGCAAGGACGGGTCCTTTCAATGCTGGAGCAAGGCGCTGACGAGCCCCGGCACGAGCCTGCAGAGCAAGCCGTGGGCCGTGGACGTGCCGTTGAAGATCGGCGACGTGGTCGTCGAGCCCGGGGACGTGCTGGTCGCGGACGAGGCCGAGCGCGTGTGCTGTGTGATTCCGCGGGAGAAGCTGGCCGAGGTGGTCCGGTTGTTGCCCGTGCACAAGGAGGCCGACGACGGCTTGTTGGACGACGTGAGGCGTGGCATGGGCTTCAAGGAGGCCATCCAGAGGTGGCCGAAGCATTACACTAACCATTGATGAAGACGTGAGGGTTCGAGCTTCTGATAGCATTGCACGACAACTACCGAGAAGCTCCATGCTCAACTCCCTTGGCGGGAAAGGACAAAGCGAAGCGCCCACGAATCTACATGTCGTCCGTCCCTTGCTTGTTCTCAGTTGTTGTCGTGAACGCGAACCCATCGAGAATTGTTGACATCTGTGCAATCTGCCTTGTCGACATCCGGCCCGTTTGAGCTGTCGAGAGCGACGAATACTGGCTCGCTGACTACGGGAACGAGACCCGACAACGGACCTTACCACGTAGCTCACCAAAGAAAGACTGCAGACCATATACGAAGTGGCAGGAAAAAAGTGACAGCGTACGACCGACTCGCCATGGTCGACCCTCGAGGATGAAATGACCCTCTACCACGTGTACTTTGTGCAAAGACTGCCCTGCCTTCAAGCCAAGCCGAGCCACGTCCTCGAATATGTCTCATGCAAGAAGCTGCAGCACCGCACATGCCCTGCTTAAACCTGAGAGCGTCTCTGACAGGCAATCAAAGCAGTAGAAGACCTCGATGATTAAGTGACCTACGTAACAGCTGAAAGGCGATCACGAGCTCAAAGCTTGAACACGAACGGCCGACCACTCTCCCACGTCGAGGAATACGAGGCCGAGTTCTGGCCCACGACCCTCAAGAACGGTAGGTCAATGTCAGGGAAACTCTGTTTGTAATTATTCACTCGAACCTTGACTCGAGCCCTGGTAGACGTGTACGCACCACACAGGAAGGGAAACTCTGTCAATCCGCCGCAACGCTGCACTCGTATCCGTTGCGTATGCCCGACGAGCAGCTGAAGCTGGCCGGCATGCAGGGTCGAGCAAGTCACGAACACGCATCTATCTTCCCGTGAGAGCGAGCGAGCGAGCGAGCAAGCCCAAAGCGCGAGCGGCGTGGCATATAAAACCCCAAGCAGAGCCGGGACCACGAGACGAAGGGCGTTCCCTTCCTCGACGACCACACATCCAGCCCTTTCGTAAACCAATTTCCCCTACCAGTGCATGCCTGTCCACTAATCTCTCGGCTTCCACACTCTCAACCATGTCAAGCGGCACCAGTACCGGCTCTCCCCCCGGCCCCAACGTCATGGTGCACGTCTTCCCCAAGCCAGGGAAAGAATCGCGCGTAGAAGAACTGATCGTCCAAGCGAGCGACCAAGTCCGCGTCCACGAGCCCTGGATCAGCCTGTACCGATACTATCGCGTCAAAAGGGACGTCTCGGACGCCGAGTATATCATCGTCTTCCAGTGAGTTCGTTGGGGCTGTCTTTTGTGTTTGATACTTCCTCTGTACACTCCGTACTGCGTGCAATGACGTCGACACCAGCAGGCAGTCCAGGGCTGACTTTTACCAGCATTGAAGACACATCACGACTCCCCACCCGAGCCGAGATGCCGCATCATCAAGCCATCGCCCAAGCGAACCGCCAGGAGGACCTCCTGCGCGAACCACTCAAGTACTCGGTCCTAGAAGAGATGGGCTTTTGGAAACGCTGACCCCGTGTCCCATCCGCGCCTGACGAGGCATAGATAGCATCATGGTGATGTGACGGGGGTTCGATCTGGTTTGACCATTGCCACTACAGTACCTCCTGCAGCTATCGCTGGTCCTCACAAACTCCGACCTGTATGTGCCTTGCCACACGGTCCTTGGTTGCCTCGCACTGTCCTTGAACGTACATAGGTACCTACCCTACTTGCCTAAAGGGTAGCTGGACTGCACCCTTCTTGTACTTGTAAAATGGTGCTGGCGACTGCATCGGAATGGGGGCATTCCCCCCCAAGGATTCAACTGTCGTTCGTTTCCCGTGATAGAGTCGGGCTGCCCTCCACCAACACACGCATAACTCGGCGGTGCCTTCGAGTGTCAGTCTCAAGTTCAGGACCCTAGTTACCTCCTACGGGGATTGTTCAGAAATGAAAGGCAAAAGCTGAGGCAGAAGAGCCAGTGGCTGGCCATTGGGACAAGTGAACCTCTTAAGAAGCAGCGGCTCATCGACTATATGCTTGGCCGGAGTCAAACGCATTCCCTGACACGCCTGACCAGGTGGAGTACGGCGGCACATATGTCTCTTACATACGGAGTATGCTTCTATCAAATCCTGTCACCCGACTGTCATCTACCCCCGGGTGCCCGGACAGGACGCACGACATGAGTACCTATTTATTATCACGGTCGCCTTTGCTACCGCGAACCGGTGGCCACAAGATCACCTTAGTGCTTCTGAGAGCATCGTTCGCCTCCCGTTTATTGTCTCGCAGATGAGCAGAAGTAAGGGATCGTTATGTTCACATACTAGTCCAGGTATCAGAGCCCCGGTCCTGGATTGCCCCATCCGTTGCCAGAGACCAGTGTCCTGGTCTCCAGACTCCTTCGAAAGACCAACCAATATTGCGCGCTCAATGTGCTTTGGCATGTACAGAAGTGGTGAAAGCAGAGAGAACACCAAGACAATACAAAAGAAACATGGGACGTATGACACATGAAAACCACCCTCCCAATCTAGCCCGTCAAGGTCATCCCTTCCAAAGCATCATTACCCAATTTTGTTTTGGCTCGCGTCCCGGGGCTCCATCTCGCTTGGCTTAGAAACAATTCAAACTGGTGCCCTTGCGCTTCTTCGTCTTTCCATCCTTGCCCACGGTGAGGAGCCTCATCCTCTCTTCGAGTTGCGCGCGAGCAGCTTCCGCCTCCCTTCTCTTCTTGACCTCCTCCTCCACGGCTTGCACACTCAGTCGCTCGGATCTCCTCTCTTTCTTCAGCCCGGAGAGCTCTTCCTCCATCGCCCACGCCTTCTTCTTCCAGTTCTCGGCGTCCACTCGTAACTTGTTGGACTGGGTTTCCAAGTCGACCAACGCCTCCTCCAGCGTGGCAGTGAGTTGTTTCTCCGCGTGGAGGTGTTTCTCGATGGTGCGCAATCGGTTCTCTTGCTCCTCGAGCAGTACGGATTGCCGACGTGTATCCGAGCGGTCGCGCGAGTTCGTGGAGACGACCGTACCGGAGACGGGAGTGACGGGAAGTGCGACCTCCTTGGACGCGTGGCGGGACTGCGGCGGTGAAGGGTTGCTCGCGACAGTGCTAGGAGCCGGCGTCGGGGAAGTGATCTGCAAGCCGCCAGGCAGGGCGGGGAGAGGTGGAAGAGGGATGGCTGGCGGCGGTGAAGGTAGAGATGCGATCGACGCCGACTTCCGCAAGTTTGAGGTCATGGAGTTGGAGCGGGCCGCTTCTGCCTGTGGCGATTGTGGGCGATGCTGTGACTTCATCGTCTGAGTGCGAGACCCGCTGTCGGACCCGGCCTCGTTGATGGATGCCCGCTGGTTGAGATCCTGCTCGAGGAGCGCAATGCGCTGTTGCGCTTCGATTAGGGCTTGGTTGCCCTGTGCTTGAATGACGGAGAGTCGGTTGTGGTGTTGATCAAAGCTGTTCTGCAACTGTTGCTCCAGCTCTTCAATCATCACCATCTTCTTGGCCTTCTCGGCCTCCACAGCTTGCAGGTTGGCTTCCGCCTTCTTCAGCAGCGCCTCCTTCTCGCGGATGGTCTCTTCGTGGTTGCCGACCTCGTTGGCAAGGCTCCGGATGGTTTCCTGGTAGTGGTTGATCTTGGTGTTAGCGTTCTCCAGCTCTTCCTCCAGCTCAAGCAAGCTCTGTCTACCGTCGAGCTGCCGCTCAAGTTCGGCATTGGTGCCAGTCAAGCGCGCATTGGCCTTTTCCATCGCACGCTTCTCCTCTACTAGATCTTGAATGTGGTTGGCAAGCATATCTGCTGTCGTGGGGTGGCCAAGTGCCTCTTGAGCGCCGGACACAAGTTTCTGCACCGTCGAGAGGGCATGTTCGAGATCTTTCTTGTAAGTCGCCTCCAATTTTTCATGCTTCTTGATCATTTCGGAAAGCTGGTCATCATATCCCGCTAGTGCGCCGCCGTGAGCTAGCTTCATCTCCTCGATCTCATTTGCATGTGAATCGTGCAGAGCTTTCAAACTCTGCTTGTGGAGTTGAACTTGTGCTTCAGCATGCTTGACCTTCTCTTGGAGGTCTGCAATTTCAGCCCTCAAGGTAGTGATCTCCCGTTGTTGTGACTTGACCATATCCGCGGAAGAGTCATAATCCTTTGTCAGCGCAGCATGGAGTTGACGGAGTTCGGAGTTCTTTGCAGCATGATCTGCATTCACCGTTTGTTGCTCTTCGACTTGCTGCTTGAGGCTGTTGATCAATTCTTCGTAGTTGTCACGCTCCGTCTGCATGGCATCTGCAGCGGCAGCTCGTGCCAAAGCGGCGTCGCCTTCTCCCGAAGATTGTTGAGCTTTGAGAGTAGCCACGCTTGCTAGAGCAATCTCAAGCTCGGCCTTGGTGCGATTATAGTTCTTTTGGCCCTCTTCAACTGCTCGCTGTGATGACTCGAGCTGCAATTTGAGTTCGTCCAGTTGTTGATTCAGAGCGTCGATCCTTTCCTCGTGTCCTGGTGATGGGGGAGGTGTCTGCACATTTGCTTTCTCAGCGATGACCCTCTGGATCTCCTCTTGCAATTCTTGTTCACGGCGGGCGTAGCTTTCGTGCATCGACTTCAACTCCGTCTCTTTCTGGATGATCTGATCTCGAAGCTGGGACACCATGTTGAGGTCGACAGGAGATCCGGCTTTGATACTGGTTCGTTCTCTCGTCAGGCCCGAAATGATCGTAGACTTGACCTCCATCTCCTTCTTAGCATTCTTGACTTCCGCTTCGAGAGCCTGGATACGTTCCAGCCGCGCTTGCAGTTCGGTGTTTGCGGCGGACAGGTGGACTTCTGCAGTTTCCATGCGGTCAGGCTTTGACTCAAATTCTTCGGCAATCAGAGCTCTCAGAGATGTGACGGAACGTTGACCTCGATCGACCCCGGTTCCGGTCTGGGAAGTCATGCGCCTGAGCATGCCGGGCGTACCTGGAGACGCGGGCCTCGTTTGCTTCATCTGGGACTTCAGGCGGTCCACAGTGGTCAAAGCCTCCTTATGATCGTTCTGGAGCTGCGCGTACTGCTCAGACACTTCCTTCAGGTTTCGTTCGTGTTCCGCCAGGAGACTCTGCAGCTTTTCAACTTCCCGTGACTGAATTTCCATGGAGTGAGTCTGCTTAGACATTGGAGTAATGTCGGTATCGATTGAAGTTGATGATTCCTCCACCAAGGATAATTCCGAAGAAAGCGATCGCGAGGATGGCTCTTGTTGACCGTCATCCTCCTCTTGCGTCTCCGCCTCAGCCAAAAAAGCCTCATCCGCCGTGTTTTCATGAACCCCAGTTTCCTGCGGCGACACTGCAGATTGACGATCTTGATCAATAGAGTCCTGCATCTCTGCCAGCGTTCGAAGTGCCTCCTGGTATTTGGCTGATAACAAGTCCAGCTCATTGACGGTCGATTCGTGCTCGAGCCGCAGGTCGAACAGCTCTTGACTGACTGATTCGAACTTCTCGGTAATGAATTTGGACTGTGCGGGACTCGGCAGAGGATCTTGCAGTTGCTCAGCCTGGAGACCTTCCTGTTGAGCGAGGGCGGTTTCCAGCTTCGCGAGGCCGGCTTCATCGCTCTCTGCAGGCATTTGTTCTGGGGAGTCCTCGGCATGCTCGATGAGCTCGTCTTCGTCCTGCGCGGGCAGTTCAATGGCTTCAGCACCTTCCAGATCCTTTTTGTGTCCATCGGCGTGGGCGTCCGTGTGTCCATTTGTCTGGGTCGAATTTCCTGCTTTGACTTTGCCGTCTCTGTCTTGGATGTGATCAAGCTCATATAGCAGATTGTCGAGCTTGCCGAGACTCCGTTGGCGCTCAACAAGGTGTTGCAGTCTCTCAATTTCACGCTGCATGATTTCCATGTCTTGATCCGACTCCGCCAGGCGCTCTTCAAGAGTACAGATGTAGTCCTCAGCGTTTGTCTCGCTTTCTCTGATCCGGGCAATCTCCTTGCGTAGATCTGAGATGATCGCGTCATTGCTTTCACCTCCAGAACTCTGATCGTCAAGCTTCGCCTCCAGGTCGTTCAGATATTGTTCGGTATTCGATTCCCTGTCCATCAATTTCTGAACGCGGGCATTAAGCTGCTGATTCATGGTCTCGATGTAAGCACACTTGGTCTCCTTCTCAAGCAGGTTGCTCTCGGTGTTGGCGAGCGAAGATCGGGTATTTGACAGGTTTGTTTCGAGGCTCTGGATCGTCTTCTCATATTCCATAACCACTTGCTCGATCATTTCTTGGTTAGCCTGAGACCGTTTCAAGCGATCCACTGCACTTTCTCCCACAATGTTGACTTGGTCGAGAGGCTCGGTACTTCTGGTCAGTTCCGATACTAGTTTGGCATGTCTCTGGCTAAGGGCATTGTAGCTTTCCTGAACATCCAGCAACTGGTTGTGCAGTTCATTTTCTCGGTCACTGGGACGATCTGATCGCTCAGAGGTCATGCCCGGCCGGCGATCGCTCGACTCAGCGCTGCGGATCTGTTGTCTCAGGAAGGCAATTTCGGTCCGCAATCGTTCGATCACAGCTTGCTTGTCTGCACCGTCGTCGACCTGCTGGATCTTGGGTTTGCTCTGGATGTTTCGAGCCCTCTGCGCATATTGCACGGTATTCAGAGTCTCACTGAGGTGGAACTCTGCGGGTGTAACGCAAGCAATCATGTATGTAATCGCGTTCCCACCAAGGGAGTCCTGAAGCATCCGCGTCAATTTCGAATCTCTGTACGACACATAAGTGCCCGGCGACCTTGATGACAGTTGTGAAATCACTTTGCCTAAACTGGCCAATCCTGCGTTGATGGAAATGCCCTCCCTCGCACGGTCACCCGTAGCACCGGTGTTCTTGAGTCGTTCACTACCGGCCAAATCGACGAAGTGAAGCTTGCTTTCGACAGTCATTGGAGAGTCGCCGCCAGACATATGATCCACCACAGTTGAAGACCGCTTGTCTTTCGCCGAGGGAAATCCTTGGGCCTTGGTTTGGCGGAGGTTGATCGTAAAGACGGCATGTGATCGCGATGATCGGGCATTGATGGCGGTGGCATCGGTCTGTCGAATTGCAGATCCATGATTGAGAACACGCATGAGCTCTTCAACCGTGGACACGCGTACCGAGTTTAAGCCTTCCACAAATATCCGGCCACGAGGGTCTTCTCGTATCTGGACATTGGCTCTCTCGGTGAACGGTGCATCCTCTGGGAGCAGGAGATCTCTCGGCTGTTCGTTGTAGATTTCAACATATGTGACCGACATGTCCCACCCCTTGTCAATGAAGGACTTTGAGTTTTGCATGACCTGATTCAAGCTCGTGACTGAATATCTAGTAGGCGATTTTAGGCCAGAGTTGTGTCTACTGTGCGCCGCCTGCGCTGCGCCGCCACCGAGACTCTCGAACAGATACTGTGCTGCTCGGGGAATGACGCCTGCTGAATGTAAGAATAAATCTTCGAGCCGAGTGGAACGAGGCTCACCTTTCAACGAAGTATCAAACTGTTCGGTGGGACCGGATGTGCCCATAGTATAACTCTTGCCCGCTCCGGATTGGCCGTAGGCGAGCAATGAGACATTGTAGCCCTGCAAGAAGGAATCCACACTGTCTTGCAGATACTCCCACACTGCTTTTTGGGTGACGTCCTCGCCGAAGACGCGGTCGAAGATGAAGATCTTTCGTCCCTGTGGTGACTCAACGGCAAGACTAGTGTTTGTGTTAACTTGTACCATCGACCGCTGGAATCTTTGGGGAATGAGGTCAAAGCCGGGATCTGACGGACCCAGAGGGGGTCGAACTCGGACCACTACGCATGGTGTTAGCCTGAACGTGTCCCTGTACTCGTGCTTGCGCCTCAAAACTGACCGACTTTGACTGAGGTCTTCACATCTTCGTCTGACGACCTGCTCCCAATCTGATTACTGCTCTGGCTCATGCGACTGTGACTCCGCGGCGGCCGACTCATCATGCTCTGAGGCCGTGGCTTATGGACTGCATCTGATGTTGAAGCCGAGAACATGCTCTGCGGCCGGACCTGGCGCGCGCCATCTGGAGACGCGGGAGGTGACGAGACCATGCTGTTCACGTCTGGTCTGCACCGGTGATGCTGCGCGACCCCTTTATGCCGTCACCAAGACACCCACAACAGATGCCCAAGCACGCACAGCCTCGAGATTTGCGATTGACAGGACACGGTGCTGTTAGCACGACGCTACGCGTGGAGGCATCCGAGATGAGCGGTGGAGGATGCTTCGAGAGCTTCGGTGCAGGAGGGGGCGTCTTTGACTTGAATGCTTCAACGTCTTAAACGGGTGTGGCAGTGAGGGGACGATTTCTCCTGACAAGTCACGACCTGCCCTCTTTGTGTCTCCCAGGTGACAAGGAGTGGACGTGATCGTGGAGGAAGGCTCGGAGGGAATACAGACGGTGGCCGAATTTCTCTTGCGTGTCGGTGGCCAGCTGGTCAGATGAGGGCCGCGGTGGCAGTTGCAAAGACAATGGCAATCGCGTTCGGTTGAAGCTGAGAAGATTGGGACCTCGTAAACAGCGGGCAAAATTGTCGTGCTGGGCCGATTCAGTCAGGAGTCGTCAAAAGTTCGAGGTGAAAAGGCTGATGCGCGGCCAGCTCGCGTCGTCGGATCCCTAACCGGTTAAGCTGGCTCCTACACACGCACGGCTTCAGGTACCTTGCTCTCACGGTTGAAGCAATTGGCAGATTAATCTCCGCCGAGCGCGGAACACGGTAGTGGCTAGACTAAGGCAGGTGCAGTTTATTTAGGGCAGTTGCAAAGTGAGTGTGGGGGCCACCGCAACGGTGATTGGGCTGCCCTGAGTAATTGATGCCGGGGGCTGTTAAAGCCTACAAGCTTGGCCTTGAGCGACGCTTAGGGCTAGGCCACTTACGCCCAAGGGTCTCTGCTCGGGAAGCTGGTTTGCTGCTGGCCCCTGTTACCCAGCACGCTTTGTTCATGCTGGCTCATGCTGGCTAGCATTTCCGGTCAAGCTCCAGCCACTGTTCCGTTTTCGTGGGCTTTGCCGTGCCCTCGAGTCAGCCATATGCCGGGGTGCGCGTTTGGAGATGCCCTCCCTCTGCCGCCTCAGGGGTGTTTACGATCACCACCGACTGTGTACTCCGTGCTGCAGGGGATCTTGTTGGCATCCTCGCTAGATTCTGACCTTTCTGCCGCGTTGTTGATGTTGTCACGAATCTGCATTCTGTGGACAAGAGCATACCACTAATCTCAACACACGATATGCATACTGACGGGGCGACATGACGGCAAAGAAAAGACAGTCGCCGGCCTCTATTCGATGTGGGTGAGGTCGGGAATGGAGCTGGCCCCTCTGACCGAGTGATCTATCGACGGAAAAGGTTGGTCACGATCTCATCTCCAGGGCTCGATGGTGGACGGCAAGATTTCTGTGCCGTGTGGGCATTTAGACACGATGTACGTAGTATGTGCGTCCTCGAGGGTAGACAGATGATGTTAAGGTTCCAACGGTGAAACTCTACTCTTTCTTATCGACGGTATCTGGTGGAGGAACGAGGCCGCCCACCGTGAATGCTTCGTCCAGTGGCCCGGCGGCGGTCATGGCATTGGGCTCATCGAGATACGCCAACGGATCCGACGTTAAATCACTCTCTGCAGCTCATCAGTCTGGAGGAGTGACTATAGCTCACGCTGTTGATCAAAGTATAAAGTCCATGCATCAGAGACTTCTGCAGAGTGGGAATATGGGAGTAATGCGTCTAACGGTCCGACAATCCTTTTCCCGAACTGGACAAGAGGAATGAGAGTGAAACAAGTGCCATCCACGTGGGGAAATTCTCCGTTGCTTTTGACTCTTGACTCTTTTGAGGACTTCAAGTCCAGACTCGGCCTTGAGGAATTACCCATTGACGAAGCAATGCCAGACAATTCCAGCCTACCATGCCGCCGCGACTGCAAACAGCCACAGCGGTCTGGCCTAACGACAGTCATCCAAAGGGCGTGCTATTCTGTTTAGATAACATCTTCGAGGTAACCAGCCTGGAACTGTTGTTCGCATCGATGTCGACAAGTGATAAGATGCGGGGTGTCGGGAAGACGATCCAACCTCGCTTGCAAGGGAGGTTTCACTTTGGGCAAGTTTGAGGTCTTGCACCAGTGTCCGACAGTCTACCTCCGGTGCACCGAGTACCTAGTAACCGTGTTTGCAGCCAGGTTGGATTTGCTCCTTTCCTGACCTGAGCTGGTTGGCTGCGTAGCTGCCAGACGGGGCGGGGGTGAGACCAAGGCTTCAGCAGATCATCTCGCTCTGCAGCAGCATCATACTCGTAGTGTCCCAGCCTTGTCAACCGGGTGGCTCGCATGACCTTCAAGTTTCGATAGTGGACGCAGAACAGGTCGACTTCATCCTGCGGCAGGTAATCCCTCTGATGGCTCGTCGGTTCCATCTTCTTGGTCATCATCCTCATCCTCATCCTCGACCTCTGAGCCACTGGTGTCGAGAACGTGGGTTCTCTCCTTTCCGGCGTCGCCGTCCACACCATGCTCTTTCATATACGCTTCAAGCTCTTTTGCCATCTTCTTGGAAAATCCCGAAGCCTCAACCTCGACGTCGAGCCTCTTGCACCCGTCTTTCCCAAGCTGTAGCTTTGCATCTGCAAAGACGGGGCCCTCGTCATCGCTAACAAATCCGAAGCGTCTTGAGAAGAAGCGCTTGACACAGCCAACATCTCTGTTGAAATAAAATTCGGCATTGGGGTGATCCACGCTGACCATCTGCGGGAAGTCAATCAGGACCGGCACAAGTCGGATGTCGTCCGCCTGCTCCTCTTTGATCAAAATATTGAACTCATTAAAATCTCCATGGATGAGTCCAAGTGAGCACAAACGCACAAGCATTTCCATCAGCTCTGCGTAGAGTCCCGCAGGATCTGGAACCTTTTCGATCTGTCGCAGAGGGAAGCCGTCGATTAAGGACATGACCAGTTGATGCCGATTTTGCCCTAGTGGGGTTGGCACACTGAGGCCCGCTTCGTGCAGGGCTTGCAGGAAGGCAAACTCTTTGACAGCAGCTAAGCGCGACATGTACATCCAGCTGCCGGCGCCTCTCTCTTTCTGTGCCTTTGTTCTGGCATAATCTCGTTTATTTCGCACACCTTTCTTGAAGCTGACCCTACCCAGTCGGTGGATCTTGAGTACCCGTTGTTCACCCTTCTCATTACTGACAACGAAGATATCACTTTCCTTGCCAACACCGATCTGGTTCCCCACGCTGTACACAGTGTTGCTCTTCTGCAAGGAATGTAGAGCCAGATAGTCAAGGCCGCCATAGGTCAGCCTGTAACCATCGTATTTGGCATTTTTCACCTTCGCTATCAGGTTTGCTTTGGCAAGCAATGAGATGCTGCGGTTGACATCACCTACAGCGGACTTCGAAAGATTGACGATTAGTGTGGTTGGGACGACTTCATGATTGCGACTCCCGGCTTCGACGGCAGCAAGCACCCGCCAGTCGGTTGGATTGAGGTATCGCAGAGCTTTCGTGTCGAGCTTCATTATTGCCGATGATGAAGATGCTCGGTTGCCATGCTCTGAATAGTGAAGAGAGATTGCTCCTGGTCGGATTGTGGTAAGTCAGAGGCAAAATTCCATACACTAAGAGTGCTGGAGGGATCTAATCTAATCTTGAGGGCGTCACAGAGTCACGTGATCCACGTGTCACTCTTTGAGTCTGGCGTCAAATCTCTCACGAACACATGAAGCCGCAATTGATCCGGGTCGTTACTTTTGGCGAGCGTCACTGGAGGCATAGAGGATTACCCCTACACAGTACGGAGTATACTCTGGAAAGGGACCCCCACCAACTCTAGGAGTTCTGGCTACGACCCACGGGAAATATCGCAAACCCCCACGCACGAAGTTATGTCCCCCATTCGGTGACATCTTCAGACTTGGATCTTGGCACACGAAAGCATCCATGCTTTGAGAATTCGGCAAAACTCCGATTCCCACCAAGAACGGGCACTTCGGCTTGCGCCCGATGTGCCTACATCGACCTCGTGTCCGGCCTTTCGGTGGGTGCTAGCAGGCCAAGTCACCGGCTTTCTCAACAACTCCGCCGTTAAATGGACCGTTGCGGTAAATTTCGACGCCGAATTGCGGACAACAAGATGCCAATCGTTGCGTCAGTGTCCGGAGTTACCGGAAATGGCAATCCGAAGCAGATTGTCAACCTCATCGACCCGGCCCTGCGACGATGAGTGAGCGACAGCAGTGTGTTGAAGCACGGTCGTAACAGGCCACCAGAGGAGAGGTACGAGCAGGGGTGGCTGCGACGTTCTGTACGAGTAGTTCATTACCAGGTACTCCAGACAATGCATTCCCATCGGCACGCCTCAGCCCGAGGTGCATGGCATCTCACCTCACCAAGTGCCCCTCGAGCACAAGCGGCAAATGGCTGAATGGAAAACGTTCGACGACCCAATGAATTCCAGTCTCTCCACGAGTTCGCCAGGTAAGCCCCACCGTAACAAAGCTCTGGAAGGCCTGCGACGGCCATTTCCCCGCATTGCCTTTTGCGAGGAAGCGAAGGCTACACGCGGTAGATACAAATACGCCCCAGGTTCCAACACTCCATCTCCTCCGGCAAAATTGGTGCCTGACCTCCAGGAGACCTTGACATACTCATACGCGACTCGGAAGAATCTCTCAAGATGTCGTCGAAGCATTTCATTGACGACCCAACTCATCTCGTCCAGACTTCCCTCTCCGCCCTGACTCTGCTCAATCCCTCCGTCGCCTTCGATGCACAGAACAGAATCGTGTACCGCAGGCCGACCAAGGAGTTAACAGAGAATCCGAAGGTCTCAATTATCACAGGTGGAGGCTCGGGCCATGAACCGGTAAGACTCCGCACAATACGACTGTGCCGTGCCTCGTTTAGACCGACGCCGCCGGGGCACGAGACACGATGCATACCAACCGCACACAACGAGAAGAACAACTAACAGAGTATAACGCAGGCATTCGCGGGTTTCGTCGGCAAAGGCTTCGTGACCGCTGCCGTCGCTGGCACGATCTTCGCGAGCCCCTCCGCAGAACAAGTGCGCCGCGCCGCCCTCACCCGAGTCCCCACAGAAAAAGGGGTTGCCATCGTGACGTTCAACTATACTGGTGATGTCCTGAACTTCGGTATGGCGGCTGAAAAGGCCAAAGCCGCCGGCGTTGACACCGAATTCTACGCCATTGGTGACGATGTCGGCGTGGGCCGAGAAAAAGGTGGTAAAGTCGGCAGGAGAGGGATTGGTGGCTCGATACTCGTGCTCAAGATGATAGGAGCTTTGGCCGAAGCCGGTGGGAGCCTGAAGGAGGTGTACGCGCTTACCAAGCAAGTGGCAGGCAACCTCGTGTCTGTCGGAGCATCAATGGAGCATGTCCACGTGCCTGGGCGAGACAAGCCCAACTCCGACGAGATCATCCCAACCGAAGAGATCGAAGTTGGCATGGGTATACACAATGAACCGGGCAGTCACCGTGTGTCAGCGACGTTGCCCGAACTCATCAAGACGATGCTAGCACAGATGTTGGACCCCAACGACAAGGACAGACATTACGTCGACATCACGAAGGACGACAAGACCGTGCTTCTGATAAACAACCTGGGCGGTGTCAGCAATCTGGAAATCGGGGGAATCGTGGCAGAGGTCCACAAGCAGCTGAAGGAAGACTATGGCATCGTCCCCGTGCGAGTCATCGCAGGTACCTTCATTACCTCTCTGAACGGTCTGGGCTTCTCAGCATCTGTTCTCAAGCTAGAAGACACCGGTCTCGGACCCGGCAAGTCGATGCTTGAACTCCTCGACGCCCCAGCCGAGGCATTTGGCTGGGCTGCCGCCACTCGAACCGAAACCTGGAATGCCGACAATTCGGCCACTGCAGAAGGCCAGCCACCAGTAACAGCTGAGGGCCAATCGTCCAATCTGAAACTTGATCCCCAGCAAGCTCACAAGGTTCTCAAGGCCGGTCTCGACAAGATGATTGCCGCTGAGGGAGATGTCACCAAGTACGACACAATCATTGGGGATGGCGACTGTGGTATCGGCTTAAAGAGAGGTGCCGAGGCCGTGCTCAAAGAACTGTCTTCGGGTGATGTCCCTTCAGACGCCGTCGCTTTTGTCAACAAGATCGTACCGGTGGTCGAGAATACCATGGACGGCACGTCTGGTGCTATCTATGCCATCTTCCTCAATGCACTGGCGCACGGTCTCAGAGAACAAGACACTGGATCACCAACAGACGTCGATGCAAAGACTTGGGCAGCAGCATTGAAGTCAAGTCTTCAGGCGCTGGGCAAATATACACCTGCAGTGCCAGGTGACAGGACGTTAATGGATGCGTTGGTGCCTTTTGTTGACACTCTCAGCAGCACCGGCGATGTCAAGAAGGCGGCTGAGGCCGCCAAGGAGGGAGCAGAGAAGACGAAAAGCATGAAAGCCAGTTTGGGCAGAGCCGTCTATGTCGGTGCGGAGGATGAATGGATGGGCAAGATTCCCGACCCAGGCGCCTGGGGCTTGCAAGAGTTTTTGGTTGGACTGGCTGGTGCCGCTAGCTAAGTGGCGTCCTGTATCCTCAGGCTGCAGAGAGACGGCCAATATTGCTGCTGTGCTGAGTTAGGCAGCAGTCTGCCCCAGATAAAATAGGAAAATTCCGTATTCGAAGCGAACCTGGGTATCGGTAATTTTTGCCATCCCCTCCTACGCCGGCCTGAAACTGGGGCCTGCGCCCGAAATGTAGTCCTTCCAAGTAAAACTGCCCAGACGCCACACTTGGACCTTGCGCGGTCGCCGTTTCGCGACCGCAAGGAGGCCGCCATGAGTGATGCTGTGACCGTAGCAATCTGCCGGCAAGCCCGTGCACATTCGCAGTCGGAATCCAGCAGTGCAAGCCACCATGGCCTACACGGGGATCAACTCAACTCAGCAGCACTAAGATGACGCTGTCGCCCCTCAAGAACATTTTACTGATGAATCTGTCCTTGTTGACACCCTTTCCACCTCCTTTGCCCTTTTCCGTCCACATCTCCTTCACGTTTTCCAGAACCATGTTGCAGTGACGGTCAAATGCTTTTACTCGAGCCAGCAATTTGCGATTGTTTCGACATGAAATCAGCACTTGGGTGTGTGTGCGAGTTGCGGTCATGAGAATGGAGAGCGGCCCGGTCGACAATTCGTGGGCTTCGACCAGGGAGACTTCATATTCACTACACCGAAGCGTGGAAGTTAGTTTGACCTCGAACAATACATGACTCCATTGGGGTGTGATGGCAATAGATGGATGTAGGAGACGGAGATGAAAGTGCTATGCATTGATGATAGGATGATGGCGCAGTATAGGTCGTGCGCCGAGGAAGTCGCGGTGTGGGCGGAGAGCGGAGCGGAATCGCGTGCAGGTGGGTGGGCGGAGTGTTTGTTGTGATGGCGGGTGCGAGGGGGGAGAAGTGCATCAAGTTGAGGGGAGCGGGGAGTTCCACATACGTTAATTCGTTTCTCGGCTTATTGAGCAGATCTCTATTGTCGAAGAACACCAAGGGTCAGCAAATTGGCTTCAGCGTGGAGGTGGCCACCACGGCAGGTTACTCCGGAGATAAGCACAGGTCAGGGACAGGGGTATGAGTCAGAGAATGGACGTACTGTATTTTGGAGGCTTCCATGGTCGTAGCAGAAATACTTAAAGAGTCTCGATTCCCTGTCCAAAAGGTATTGAAATTCCTCGATTCTCAAAAACGCTTTGGAGGCCTGGCGAGACGGTCGGCCGACCTTCCTGTTCCGGAACGCGGATATTACTAGCCTGCGAGTGGCACACAGGGTACGTCATCCGCGCCACGCTGCGCCTGGCACCCACCTGGGGCACCAGCCTCCGAAGCCTTGCATACACGCGTTTGGGCCAGCGCGTCCACGGCCATTGAAGGTACCTTTCAACCTTTCGTTCCCTCGCTTGAAACTCACCCTCTTTCTCTCCTTCTGTTGTCTTTCCTTCCTCTGCCGCCATTCGACTGGCATCTCTTTGTGTTTGTTCATGCATTAAAAGCTTCTCGACGTATGCTAGGAAACTACATTAGCTGCTTTACCAAGCTTGAAGCAACATCAACGAACCACACGACCAATCCCAGTACTGACACTCATAACACTCAGTTATACCTCCTTTGATCTCTCAACGCGATGAGACCCTCTTCGTAAACCTCTTGCTCACAACACCAGCTTCCCTGCGCCTGGGTAGCTTCGCGTCGCGCCTGCAGTCGCTGTCATGGCGACCTCTCCAGCTGAGGGCGTCTCGATACGAACGATCCGACTGAAAGTGCTATACACCTTCGATTCTGAGCAAAAAGATAATCACCTTGCACGTTGGCCACAGCCTTTGGACGTGCAGACCGCCTTCATCGACGAAGTAAACCAGATTGGTGTGGTCGACCTGCGGACGTGCCTGGAAGCTGTGACAACTGCCAGTCCCGAGCTCACGACCTTCACCGAGAATGACTACACGATCTATGCTTATGACTA